TATTCGGTTATAAAAGTAAATTACGGAGGAATAATAACGGAAGAGCGTTAGTAAAAAAATTATTAATATAACATATTTATATGTTTTAGGATAGAAATTTAAAAAAGGGGGGATTATATTAAATCGCTAAAGATTTATTAGGTATTGGACCCGTACTAATACCGAGAAGCGCCGACGTCTATATAATATAGTGCCGTAATATAGCGTCGGAACGGTTCGGAGCCGTCGCAAATTTAACTACTATAGGATAGAGTTTATAATAATATAAATAGCCGGTCGGACTCGCTTCCAGAATTATTAGGGTTAATTATTAATATATCTTTAATCCTCCCCCTACTTTGACGTCCTCTACGTACTTGCGCTATTTGTAGGCATCTCAACCTACCTTCCTCTACGATCCTAACATAACGTTATTAATTATTTTAAGAAGGATTAGGTTTTTATAATTATTAATAATAGAAATAAGGGTAATAATAAAGAATTTAACGAAGAAGAATTTAGTAGTAAAAATTCTAATTCTTTATTGTTATAGTCTTTTAGTAGCAAGGCGGTAGCTTAATAATTATAATAGGAGGCGGTTAGCTAGTAGGAGAAAAATAATTTCGAACGATTGCGCCGCTTATATTAGAAAGTTAGGACGGCTAAAACGATATAGGTTAATTTAGGCCTATTACTTTAAAAGGTCACTAATATTAAATTAGGGCTATTTTATTTATAGTAATATTTAATTTACGCCGCTTTTATATCGGATTTCAAAACTATTTAATCTTTCCTTTATTATTAATTCGAAGAAGCTTAAGAGGCTATTGTTAAATAGATTAAGTTGAATTTTATACCCTACAAAATAGAATAGGCGGATTGTTTTACAAAGAATTATTTTAATTATAATTAGCGTAGGGAGGATAGCTCAGTTGGGAAGATTTAGGCTTAGTTTACCTTGTAGTTGTTTTTGTAAGGTTATAAGTTCGAATCCCGCTCCCCTCCCTTCCATTCGATCTTTTCTAGGTTCGGGATCGGTATTAGAATTCTTTCCCTACCAAGAGTACGTAATTAAACTTATAGGGTTCTTCTTAATTTAAAACCTTAGGATAAAGCGATTTAGCGTTTGAAAATCTCTTCCTCGATAGCGACGCTACGCTAAATAAATTTAAATCGATTTTCTATTCTCCGAAAAGTAATTACCCTATCCAATAATATGATAATTTCTCCGCTTAATTAGCGTACGATTCCTTAAGTAAGTAGGGTAATATTTGCCCTCGCTTCGAAATTAGGGCCCTTAGACCGAAAGAAGACTTTAAAAACGCCAATCGAAATCCGTAAGATTCCTCTTCCTTCCCCCTTCCCTGCTATAAAAATAGACGATCCTAGGCGACGATAAGGGTGGGGGTGGAGGGGTTAGCTATAAGAACATAACGAAGGGAAGGCTTAGATTAAAGGAAGGATATATTAAATATAAAGACGCGGGAGGTTTTTATCCCGTATTTGTAGTAGATATACGGTTTTTCCGCCTAGCTTTGAATAACGAAGGACTGTATGCCTAAATAAAGCAATTAAATTAGAATAGTTGAAGCGTGAATAAGATTATTATTATTATTATAATTAGCGTACTATATTATTAAATAAATTTAATAACGGCTCGTTAAAATCGTATGGCCTCTCTACCCGCAGTGGTCTAATTAATTTCTACGACACTTATAATATTTATATACTTAACCGTTATACGTATTTTAAAAAAAAAGCTTAATACTTTTATTTCGTATATGAGGGTTAGATAAGTAGGCAATAAGTAAATAGGTACGACCCCGCTAGAATCAACTATTTAAGGGTTAAATTTAATCGAAAAGTAATATTAAAAATTGAAAGCGAACCTCCCTACCCCCAAACAACCGTTTAATATATTTTTAGAACCTTACTTAAATAATTTCTATACTTAATATAGCCTCCCTTATACGTATAAAATAGAGAGAGTTTTTAATAAGGATAAGGAGGGTAGCGTTTTAGTAAATAGGGAGGATATTTATCCATTTTAATACCTTTATTAGCGACGTATAAATTTTAATCTCCTTTAGTCTCCCCTATTTAATAGTTATTACTTCCCTATATTAATATATATTATAGGGTATAGTAGATAAATACTTACGACTTTAACTAGCTATTAAAGAAATCCTTAAGGGCCGCCTTCCTAAATAGGATAGCCCGTTTAATAACGAGGTTATCCTACTAGGTAGGTTACCCCGGGGCAATTTAATTTAAATAATTTAGGATAAGAAAAGTAAAGGGAAGGCTATTATTATAATTTCTTGTAGTAAGTCTAAGAATACGGTTCCTATACGCCTTTTAGTACGTTGTAACTATTTCTAGTACGAGTTGGGATTTAATATCGAGGAGATAGATATTAGTAACGCCTATACTTAAATAAAGTAGTACGTAATTGTATTAAGGTAATTAATGACAACGACGACGAAGAGGATAAAGAGCTAGGTAAATATTAGGAGGAGAGGGTTTAAGAGTATATGGTAAGAGAGGAGGCGAGAGGAGAGGAGGCTGGAACGCCTATTGAAATATCTTTTAAACTTTCGTCCTTGAGTAGCGATTTTGAGTTTAGCGAGTAGCGCCTTGTTTAGTTAGATAGCTTTAATATTATGAAAAGTATTACTAGATATTTTAATACTATGAAAAGAATCGCTAGAATGTTTGTTTTGGGAAGATAGGGAAGGATATAGCTGTCTTGTAGACTTAAAATTTTTAGCGGTATGTCTGGGATATTAGAAAATTCGAAATTACTAGTAAAAACGGCCAGTATTATATGATAGCTGTTATGGGAAAATAGAGGGTACTTCTAGGATTCAATAGAGTGCGGAGAGGGTTTCCCTACTCCATTGCTTCAACGAGCACCTGTAAATTTTCTCTGTTGCCCACTTTCGGAGAGGCCAACAACCACGGAAGTTACCTCCTCTTCCCGCCATCACTCATTGGTCCCGGCACAACAGTTACGACTAAGGACAGCAGATATCAGTAATAGTTATCTGTTAAAGCAGACAAACTTACATGACAGGCGCCATAACCGACATGCGGAGAGTACAGATTCGTGCAGGTGTTTACACCTCCACGTCCCAGTCGGTAACCTCAACCTCAACTTCGTGATCCTCCCCACGGCACCAGACATCACTGTAGCACGACGACGATCAAACCCTTAAATAGGGCTGTGATAACATGAAGGCGTGCTTGTGCATCGCTGAGACTACCAACTAGCCACTACCATCTCTTCAACCTTCCCACCTCGAAGGCGACCTTGAACGCCACTGTGCTCGGCTTCGGTCAGGGATGGTACTTTTGGGCCAAGGTAGTGGTTGATGAGGAGGAAAAGCTAACTAATAGAAGCCCCACGATTCCAAGTCTTTATACCTTCCCTACCTGTACTATGCGCACAGCGCACCTTCCCAACCTCTAGAGCCTGGGGCTCCTTGGAAGCCTTCAGCAGTGCATTTCGGACATGTCATTGGCCGGACACACAAATTCCGTACACCCTAACCCATTTGGAGCCACGTAAGACTCACAGCGGCTTTGACGGCCCGGGCTGGATGCACGAGACCCTTCTTGCAGCAAGTGCGTAAGATTGCGGCTTGCAGGCCATTTCCCTTTCTCATCACTTTTACTTGACTGCTTGTGGACGACAGCGGACGACAGTGGACCAGCAGCAAGCCGCTGTCAGCGCCGAGTGGTGTTGTGGACGGGTCGAAGCCCAATTCTCCTCAACCGAAGGTCAGTGGTGAGTTTGATTGGTAAAAGAGGTGGTGAAAACGGATAAGAAGGCAAGAAGGCTGCGAGCGCCAAGTTATATATTCGACAGAATGCGGCTTGTGGAGAACAAAGGGCTGGTTATAGTCCCCAGTCCGGCCGAGCCGGTTCGATCAGTTTTAGCATCCTCAGCTTAGCCTCTATCACAAGCCAAGCACACCGAGCCTTCTACTCTCCGGAGCCTTGCGGGGAATCCTTGCTCGCACGTCATTTCTAGAGGTAATCGAATGATACAGTGTGCAATGGAGCGGCTGGGGCGGGTCATCTTCCTGCACCGGAAACCTTTTTGGTGTTTTGATGAAGTGCGGAGAATCTTGCAAGCTGCAGCCGGGACTCGCTAGGGAAGCCTGAATGGTCGGTGGTCTCGGCGATGGTGAAACCCTTCCAGGTCCCCGGGAATCTCTTCAATTCGCGTGGCGCGGTTGCTCGAGCAACGAATAGGGGGTCTATCGAGTGCAGACCCACCCACCATATATCTCACTTACACAACCGGATGGGCTCAGTGCTGGAGCACTGCTTACGCCAAGGTCCAAACACAGTGCAGGAAGGAAGATCATGAAAAAAGCTCTTGCGGCATAACTTGTGTTGGCTCCATCTGATAAGTCAAGAGCCTTCAGCTCGACACAAGGATGGATACCCAACGATGGGATATTGGGAGAACTGCAGAACTCAGAATTCGGACTGATAGGACCGGATACCTACCTGGATGATTATCACCAGCCGCATCATGTTAGTGATCAAGCACTCATCAGCACGCCGGCCTCCACCTCATCCAGAAGCTTGAGGCCGAGGAGCCGCAAAGCTGTCAATATTGCATGGAATTTGCAATGCGGGGGGCCGTCCAGGGCTCTTCGGTGCAAGTGAAAGCCTCGCGATCGGTGGTCTGTAGATGACGACTCCTCCGTTGGTTGCCAATTGCGCAAGTTTCAGGTTTTGATAATTGGCACTTTGGGTTCTTGGGCATCGCAGCAGATGCCAAGATATTGGCATGAATGGCACTGCCACAGAGCAATGGTGTTGGCGGTTTGGCGGAGAGTTTCCCAGACTCAAGTCCGTCCGCGGCGCGGCTCGATCAACAAGGGCCATAATCGATACGAATTACCAATCGAGGCTGCGATGATCTCAAAGTCCTTGTGAAGTTGAAGAGAAGGAGTCGACGAGGCAGTCCAGATATAAGAAGGGAGTTACTCGCCGGCGTTCATGGTTTCACTTTGTGTACCACCGCAGCACAGTTTGCTTCTTCATCACCAGTCTTCACCCACTAAAAGTCTCACTCACCTTTCTTTCGTTTAAGTCCTTCGGAACTTCACCGTCACCATGATCCCTCGTCACATCCTCCTCGCCCTGTCCGCGGCAACGCTCGCTTTCGCCGACACCCTGATCAACACCCTCCAGCAGAATGGCTTCAGCGACTTCGCCAGCATCTACCAAGATGCGGACCCCAGCATTCTCTCCAACGTCAACGCCGGCAGCAACATGATCATCTATGCCACCAAGAACACCCAGTCCACCAGCAACTCTACCCTTGGCCGTCGTAAGACCACCGTCAACACCCAGATTGCCGCCATGTCTTCGGTGCAGAACACAGCCTCCAGCTCGAAGAAGCTACGCTTCAAGCGGCAGCAGGCCAACTCGCCCGCAGCTGTCTACCAGTCTCTGCTGAGTGACCCGGAGATCGTCAACCTCGGCCCGGGCGTCAACCAGTCTCTTGTTGAGAAGCCCGTCGGAGACGCGGGTGTGCCCACCGTCTTCGCCGGTGTGGGTAAGGCTGTTCCGGTTGTGGGTGATGATATCCCCTTTGACGGAGGTGTCATCAGGCCCGTTGATTCGTAAGTCTTTCCCACTCCTCTTCTCTTCCTCTCCCTTCCTCTCCCTGTAACACCAGACCCAACACTAACCTCCCGCCAACAACACCAGACTCGTCGAAATCCCCGGCTCCATCCCCAACACCCTCGCCCTCTTCCCCCAACTCTCCAACCTCACCGCCCTCCTGACCCAATTCAACCTCGTCGAACCCGTCAGCGAGGCCACCGGCATCACCGTCCTCGCGCCCGAGAACAGCGCTTTCGCCGCGGTCGACACCTCCGGCCTCACCGACGAGCAGATCGTCGCCATCCTCAGCCAGCACGTCATTGTCAATTATGTCGGCTACTCCCCGCGGTTGAAGGATGGACAGGTCCTCAACACCCTGGCCAACGGCACTGTTACTGTTGCTGTCAGGGACAGCGGTGTCTACTTCAACGGTGCCAAGGTCACTGCTGCTGATGTTATTGTTGGTAATGGTGTTGTGCATACTGTTGCTTCGGTGAGTAACCTCCCTTGGGGTCGGTTGAATGACAGAGGTGACGGTTGAACGTGTTGCTGACACATCATCATCGGGAGCAGGTTGTCGGTTCCGAGGACGCTGGTGTCCCTGGGGAGAACCCCCCTGCCACCGGCGCTGCTGGCCGTGTTGGACTTGGCCTGAAGACCCTCGGCCTTGCTGCTCTTGGCATGGCTGTTGCTGCTTTGTTCTAAATGTAACTGCTAATGTTTGAAGGAGGATTGGTTGAGAGACTGGGGGATGCCGTGATAAGGTCAAGGAAGGTCGCGGAGGCTGTGAGGCTGTGAGGCTCTCTCGCTCTGTTAACGATTGTATGTAATGTCTGATTATGCAGATTAATGATAATTACGAACCACTGTCTATACCTTCCTTGGAATCATGGCAGCATCACTTGATGGATATCAGTTGCTGGGTAGTCATTGTAGAGCGCCATGTAAGTGTTGGTGGGGGCCGAAGAAGAGAGGGTTAGGGTTGGCTATGGTGATATGGCTCGGAACAGGAACTCTCGTATCTGGCCCAATCGAGGAGTTGGGTCCAAGACCAAACTCTATGGTTCATCGGTCAGTTATTCGGTATCATCCCAATTTCTTCGAACAAGTCGTGAGTCAAAATGATTTCAATACTCGTCACTTGAAGTGATTCGGTCGGCACCTTTCTCACCGTCGCACAACCGAACCCGTCATTATTCTAGTCACCACGACACGTGCCCGGCATGACGGCGTAAACGGGAGTGAGACCTCGCGCAAACGGCCAACGGCGACTCGTATGGTTTGAATACGATGTTCAAGAAACGAAATGACAAGAGCAAGGTAAGCATCGTGAAAGCGATCGAGTGTTTGCGGCACGAAAACGAGGTGTCGAGTCGAAAAAGAACCCCGCCTTTTGAAAGATCGGGTCTCGTTTAAACGTGCCGCTGAACCACTGAAACAGACGCCATTGGCGCTATCAGATGCCCTAGTAGAGCCGCACCCACATCCCTGGAAGCCCAGCATGTCGGCGTCATCCGGGCCATTGAAGCCAGGCACAACCCGGGGCGTCGGGCCAGACCCGGGCAGACCACCACGACCACCTCACCTGAAAATGCCCCTCTGCGCCTCCCCGAATTTGCCCGCATTGCCCGCTCAGCCATCATTCTTGTCAGGTGTGGCTGCAATGGCAGAATCGAATTTGCAACAGTTGTCAGTGTCACAGCCCCGCAGGCCTCTAAAAAGTCTCAAAAGTGCCTTGGAGGTTTGCACATTCTCATCAAACAATTTCCTCACGAGGATTCATGGACAACACACCAATCCACATGGAACAGCCGTGGTGACCCATCCATCCTGGTGATGCCGACCATGGCGTGCTTCACCAACAAGGGGCGAAGCGTTTGCTTTGGCATGGGAGTCCTCGGGTTTGTCAAGTCTCCATGATTTCACTTTTATACTCGTACCCATCGCATCTTGAACAGGAGTTTCCCATCTCGGTACTTGGTAATTGCTATCAACCGCGCTAACACATTCGAGAGCTCAACACCGTCCCAAAAGCTATCGCAACCGCCCTACTATTATTACACCGCGATACCTGAATACAACCATTAATACACCGAATAATACACCACCTCGACCAGGGGCAACAACCAAGACTCCACCTGCCGCCGACGATCACCACCTCGACGACGTCGACACTCCACACACACACACCTTATTTCAACGTCACCATCGTTACAAGTGTCCCCTCCCTCTTCAGTGCGGCTCCACTCATCGACACCTCAACCTCAACCTCAACCTCAGGGACACATCCTCACCACAAAAGACCAAGAAGATGACAGTCACCACCTCCGACCCCTCCAAACCACCATACCAGCACGAGCGTCACATCGCCGAGCTAGCCGTGCAACGCGCCTCCCTCCTCACGCGCCGCGTCCTCGCCGGGATCCTCAACCCTTCAGCTTCATCATCGTCAACCTCCACCTCGGGCACCTCAACACCAAACCCTCATCTCGATCATGACCGCCGCATCAGCGTAGCCTCCATCTCCAAGCCCGACTTCTCCCCCGTGACCGCCGCCGACTTCGCCGTGCAAGCGCTCCTCACCGCCGCCATCCGCGCGCACTTTCCGCACGACGGCTTCATAGGCGAGGAGGACGCCGACGCTTTGCGCGCCGATCCGGTGCTGGCTAGGCAGGTGTTTGAGTTGGTTCGGTCTTGCGACGCCTCCACCGAGTCAGGCGATGAAGCACTGCTCTCACTAGCTGTACTCCCGCAAACCATCCCCGAGATGCTATCCCTCATCGACCTAGGCGGACGCGGCACCGGCTCGCCTACCGCCCGCTTCTGGGCCATGGATCCCATCGACGGCACGGCGGCGTTCATGCGCGGGCAGCAATATGCTGTGAGCCTGTGTCTGATTGAGGGTGGACGGGAGGTGGTTGGCGTTTTGGGGTGTCCCAACCTAGGCATAACTCTCCCCTTTAACTCTTCCTCTTCCGCTTCCTCTTCCGCTTCCCCGAAAGCCAAAAATACTTGCACAGCCACGTACATAATCTCTGAGGACAGCACCCCATCCCCATCCCCTGACGCTCAGGGTCAGGATCAGGATCAACAACAAACAACAAACGGCATCCTCCTCAGCGCCGTGCGCTCCCAAGGCGCCACCATCCGGCCCATCGCCGACCAAACTTCCCAAGCGGACCTCCTCCCCGCAACCCCCCTCACCAAGTCCTCCACGGCCTCTACCAGCCCAACAGACATGTCCAACCTCCACTTCATAGACTCCCTCACCACCCCCGCCACCTCCTCCTCCCTCGTCGCGCGCGTCGCCACCTTAGCCGGCGTACCCAATTACTCTTTCCCCGGCACCGAGCTCTACAGCTCACACATGCGATACGTAGCCATGATCCTTGGCGGAAGATCGCACGTGCAGGTGCGGATCCCCAAGCCCATGACCAAGCAAACGTATATCTGGGATCACGCGGGGGCGCAGCTAATTTACGTTGAGGCGACGGGGGGTAAGGGGAAAGTGACAGATTTGTGGGGGAGGCAGATAGATTATGGACGGGGAAGGGTTCTGGATGGGAATTGGGGCGTAGTTACGGCAGATGAGGAGGTGAGCGGGAGGTTGTTAGAGATTGTGGGGACCTTGATTGGGTGATGGGGTTGCATTTTACTTGTTTTCGTTGGGGGATCGTGGTGTTTTGATGATGATGATAGACGGTGCGGATACCATGGATGATGAAGATAGACGGCGACGGCAGCAATGCCCGGAATGAACACGTCTCGAGTTAATGCATGCCTATTATGACTACTATTATCGATACCATTAGGCCTATTTATTACTGCGATCGCCTCCGAGTCCACAGATGTGACAAGCTACCACTGCTAAACCTCCCAGATGCCCACATCCCGGGCCTCTTTTCGGTTGCTGCTTCGCGATGCTCGTGGATCGGCAACTCTTGCGAACTTTCACTGTACTGCACATCCCGTTCCCTGAGTTTCTCCAGCATGAAGTTCCGTAATGTTTGAGCCGAAGCTTCCGTCAACTGCTGGGTAGATGCCACTGGCTTCCGCAGTCCACCCATGAACGACCGCCATCCGCCGAAGATGAGGTTCCGAGCCCGAGTACTGAAAGCAAGCGCAAGTGATAGGATTGTAATGCCAAGTGAGGGGAAAACTTCGACTTGGTCAGCAAGATGATTAGACCCCATGAGTCTGAGGGTGACTTACGCATGAGCAACAGCTGGTTGCCGATCGTCATATGTCCATCGTTTAGTTCCCGTGCGTTCATACCGAACATGGTAGCGAAGAATGATAATGGTAGAAAGAAGATAGTCACAACAGTAAAGACTACTATTGACCTCCCTTGAAGGACGCTCTCGTCTGCTCGTCGAATACCCGCTTTCGCTTCGATGATTCCCGACTGCTGTTGTTTCATGTCAAGCAACTCCCGGATCTGCGTCCGTGTTTTGGCTTGTCTCTTCTCAAGGTCGGCTAACTCATCGCGATTTGACTTCATGTCAGCTATCAGGGAGCCGGCACGCTCAAGGGTAGAAGGCAGTCCGTCCAACTGGAAGGGCGGATGCCCAGAGCTCAACCCGCGTAGTACCTTCTCAAAGTCCGTCATGATGGTGATCTGCTGTGTAAATATCTCTTGCATAATTTGTAGCTGGTCGATGACATTCTGGGCTTCCATCAAGACGGACCACTCGTATTTGATGTTGAGAGACTTGCGAAGCAGTTCTTCGGAGGTTTGGAGCGGATCCTCAGTGTTCATCCTCTTGACGTCACGGCCGAACCGCTCGTATGACTCCGTCTTCTTTTCCGCCTAGGGTGTCGTGTGTTAGCAACGCCATCACATGCAAGAACGGGGGCTACTGAACAAACAATTTTGGATATGGCGGAACCAAATATGTCCACTACTTCAGGCCGAAGATCAGGCTTGGTCCTGTCGAAGATGACTTTGGAACATTCGTCAATGATGATAAGAGCCAGATCATAGATCGAATTGATCTGGCGCTCGTCGACAGATGCCATGTAATCTCGGATTGCTCGGTGGACCGCCGAAGGATCAGGCTTGTTACGGCCCCATCTTCGAGGGAATGCAGTGATGATGGTGTCTATCCCCGACGGTGTTAGTTTGGGAACCCATATGAATGCGTAGGGAAACATACTTTCGTCCAGGATCCACATCCACAACTGGTCCACCATCACTACCCTGGGTATAGACTCCAAATCATTCTTCATCCAAGTCCCACGATAAACCACCTGCTGTCGGTCTCGCTTGGTGGTATCTTCTGCAGTCCAGCTGCTGTATTGCTCGAGCGTGCGTCTCGGATGCAGGGAGGACTCACCATAAAGATGATCATTGATGAGCCTCCAGTCGGCGGCCTCATCGATCAGTTGAAAGAGCTTAGCCGCATGCCATAGATAAGTCCCTAGTCGGCTGCTGGGACGCCAGGAAGGAGCATCATCCATGATTTTGTCGCTGATGAATGTGTCGTCAGGCATGCTGTCCTGTCTACGGACACGTGCCGAAATGACCTTATCAACGACACTACCCCAAGTTCCTCGACGCTTGTTTTGACGCTCCATGTAATGAGTTTCTTCCTTCTGCTGACGTGTCTTGCGTATGACATTTGTCATTCTCGTGAGTCGTTTTTCGATTTCCCAGTGTAGGTATGGCATAAAGAGCACCACGTCGTTTGTGTTTGTGGTAGAACTCATCGGCGAACCCAACGTTGGGTGTGTTCGTGGGGCGCGTGGCGCGGATGGGACAATAGCGCAGCGAGGTCGTATTTGGCGGGCATGAGGTGGAAGATGTGTACCGATACCGCCACGTTCCTGTCCATGCCAAAGTTCGCGCTTCAACAACTTCTCGGTGTTTGACAGACGATTTGTGGGCTTCGACATACCCCTTTCACGTAGGATTGTGCTGCGTTGACGATCTAATCCCGAGGCTTCACCATAGTATCTTGCAATGGCATCTTCCACCCACTTCATGTTGTTCGCCTGGAGATGAAAGTAGCGTAACTGGTTCTTGTCCTCCGAGCGCTTGAGTGGTGTATTGACTGTGTCGTAAAGCAGCTTCTGAACCGAGATCTTTTGATGGGGGTACTGACCATGACAGAGAGGGTGATCGAGGGTCACTCCGCCTTGTCCCTTTTCGTACATAATCACCCAACCATTGTAGCCATAGTTGGACTCGCACGGATTGTCGTCGATGCTATCGTCGGGTGCGCCCAGTCCGTCGATGTAACTTTCCGGGTCCAGCTCTTCCCTTTGTTGGTCTTGGGCCGGCTGCGTTGACCATTGCTGAACCTGGAGCAAAAGAGACCGGTTTCGCTGCAGAAGGGGCTTGCGGTAGCAATCTGGCTGTGCCAGTTCGTTGTCACATTTTGCTAGTTCCCCCTTGCATTTCTGTATTGCTTGCTGCTTCCACCGCCTGCGAGAATCGTCGAGCAAGACAACCAACGGAGCGCTGTTGGGCTTGGGATAAAGACGTTGGGTCTCGAAGTATTCCCTCAAGTAGCGGATACGACGGAGTTCTTTCCGGACCAGCTCCTTTTCTGTTGCCGAAAAGCCTTCGTACAAGGTCTTTCTCTGTGAATATCTCGCGGACAAGAAAGAAGCCCAAGCGTCGGTGGGGGGAAGAGGGTCGACGTATTGATCGTAACGAGGAGCTGGTTGTTGATCCATCTGCTTCAGAACAAACGAGGATGGATATCAGATATGGCCAGGTTGGTATTGCTTGGGGGTTGCAGCGGGGGTGTTGGCTGTTTGTTCCCGGATGCTACAGTGGCATGTTACGCTGTGTTGCTTCGGAAGTTTAGGCAGTGGTGGCGGCGGTAGACGTCGAGCAATGTTGGGAGCACTGCTTGTAGGGACTTGCGATGTTTATATACCACCAGCTTCGGGATGTGACATCGATGTTGTCTTTCGTGATGTTGCGTAAGTTGAGCTGCAGCGATAGTGTACTTGATGTAGAACGGAGATGTAACGATTGGATGGCCGGTGTTGTTTTGGCCTCAAGGGAGAGGGTTGTTGGTGCCCTGGTCCCTCTTTCTTTTGTGCTACCGGCGCATTTGTGCCTTGCCTTCCCACTTGTTGAGGTGGTCTCGGTCAAGATGCCTCGTTCTCTTAGGTTGGAAGTCTGTCCTTGCCCCAACAGAAGGCGCCGGTTAGCATGTGCACTTATCTAGCAGTTTCCAAACCTATCATTGGAATACGTACCGTGGCCTTCCTCGTCTGGGCAAAACTGGTGCCCGACTAGCGATGGTGTCTGCCTTGGGAAGAGGAATGCATAGCGACTGTCGAACACTGGTGGAAGAAGAGAAGTAGCCGAGGACAAGTGGGATGAGGGGTCTTGTCGGATCCAATTGGAAAAAGCTTTGCGACGGCTTCCTTCTCAGAATCATGAGATTGCTTGAATGCGCTTTCCATCGTTGCTGATGCTAGGTCGCAGCTTCGGCGTGTGACGTGTCTTGCATCCAGAGCAGATGTGAGCTGAATGCATCGACATCTCGGGCATGTACCTCTTGTTAGTGATCGGCAGTCTGATTGCTGTATCCCTTAACACTTACACCAGCGGAGTTATGCACCTTGGTGGTTGTGCACCAACATCCCCGAAACGGGATGGCAGCAGCGCTTTCCCGAGGCATTCTGGCAACGAATGCTCCTTCCACTATTCATCGTGACGCTTTCTCTGACAGTAGATCTCGAAGCAGTTGTTCCCTCGTTGACTCCTTCTGTTGTTAAGACATCTCGATAAGCTTGCGGGGCCTGGACTCGAGCAGTCTCGGTCACTGTCTCAGCTGCCGTGTCCGTGATGGTCTCAATCGGACAGTCCCGCACCACCATGCAGCCACTTTGATTCAGCGAGCGGAAAGCGGCAGGCACCCGATGCCGTTGCAGAAACATTCATGTGCGAACCTTCAATACATCACCACCAAAATCCCAGACTGACTGTTGGAGATAGAAACATCGCCAAGTCTCACGGCCAGCAGTCAAGAATCGAGACTACCGAGCACCAGCCACCAAAAATGCATGTCCGCAACCATCTACCGCCATGTTGCGCCCTTGCAGCTCAGGATGGCCCGCAGCTTTGTTTGATACGTTGCGATGGTTAGAGCAAACAAACAAACCGAAATTTCGGTGTTTTGACAATGACAAGAGAACAATGCCAACAACGGGCCCACTCGAGTCTGCCACGGCGACCATCAAACTCCCGCGAACCGGTCCAAAATAACACAAAACCGTCCGAACTCTGCACCTGCGACCTCTTGATGCTGTGCTGGTTCTGACTTCCAAGTTACCAGACCTGTAGCTGCATCTACCGGCTACCACAACGGCTATCACAATGCCCTCCGCCATGGCAGACACGGTAGCTGAGATCGAGAGCTTCCTCGACACCGGAATTGCAGCCATCAAGGGTCTCATTCCCATGATTTGGGTCCAAAGCAAGACCTCCCCAGTCCAGTTCCTCGTCGGCGGCATCGTTATCTTGCTCTCTTACTTGCTCCTTACCATCTCACCACCCCACGATCCGGCCGAACCACCCGTCATCAAGCCCAAGTTCCCAGTAATCGGCCACCTCTTTGGTCTCCTGAACCACCAAGTCAACTACTTCAGCGACCTCTTCACGCGAAACCATCTGCCTATCGCAACTCTCCCCATCGGTAACCAGAAGCTCTACGTCATCTTCGATGCGCCCCTCCAGCAGGCCGCTCTGAAGGCCAAGGACATGGACGCGCAGTCCTTTATGGTTGACTTCGTCCCCCGCATCTTTGGCGTCAAACAAGGCACAGTCGACAAGCTCTTGGGGAAGGATGGCGTGCACCCGAACATTATGGGCGACATGGAACATGTCTTCAAGTCCGCGCTTTCGGGAGACAACCTCCAGAAGTTGGCCAGCACCACGCTTGCGACCATGGCTGATACCCTGAACGATATAGATGCTAAGAGAGGCACCAAGATTCCCAACATGTTCCTTTGGCTTCAGTCACTCTTGAGCAGGTCCACGTCAAAGGCTTTATGGGGAGAGAAGCACAACCCGTTCAAAGATGACCAAGTCATTGACGCCCAGTGGTATGTTACCATCCCTTCCCTTCCCCCCATCACTTCTACCAAGCTAACCACCACTGAAACATCACAGGGACTTCGAATCTCACATGGGCCCTCTCGTCCTTGGCTTCTTGCCCTCCATCGTCGCCCGCCGCGCCTACCTCGCCCGCAACAAAGTCCAATCCGCACTACTTCCCTACTTCAGCGCGCGCCACTACGAAACGGACCCGTCCACCTCCTACTTCATCCGCGCTCGCACCCGTCTCCTGAAGAAGTACGATCTTCCCGACGACGAACTGGCCAAAAATGAAGTAGCCATCACCCTTGTCGCCACTACCAACGTTCTGTCCACTCTCTTCTGGTGTATCGCCGAGATCTGGACGCGCCCTGATCTCTTACAACAAATCCGCGCCGAAGCTTTGCTGGCTGTCTTTGGCAACAGCCAAAAGGCTCTTTCGGGTGAGGACATGGGAACAAGGACAATCACCATCCCCGCCGCCGGCCTCGACGCCAAGTGCCCCCTTCTCGCCTCCTGCTTTCGGGAATCCATCCGGCTCGCCTCGCAGATCGTTACGGCCCGACGCGTGCTCAAGGATACGATGCTCACCGACCCCGTCTCGGGAAATTCCTACCTGCTTAAGGCTGACACCAACGTCATGATGCCTGCCAAGGTAGTCCACCGGAACACCACCGTCTGGGGCGCCGATGCTGAGGGGTTCAACCCCCGTCGATTCATGTGGGAGGAGCTGGGTCCGAAGGTGGAGAGGCAGAGGAAGGCGGCCTTCGTCCCCTTTGGTGGTGGAAAGCACATGTGTCCGGGAAGACACTTTGCGTTTACGGAGAATTTGGCATTGATGGCGGCGTTGGCGATTGGGTTTGAGATTGAGGGGTTAGATAGGAGTAAGCTGAAGATGGGTGACTCCAAGAGGGGCGAGACGGCGAAGCCGTTGCCGGGGTTGGAGGGTGGGGAGGTGGTTTTGAAGAGGAGAAAGGAGTGGGAGGGCGTTAAGTGGGAGTTTAGTTGCTAGTCGACTGTGAGATGTGTCTCTTCTCTTTGTTTCAGTCTGGGATTCTGTTGAAGGTGTGTCTAGTACGGACTCTGTCCACTGATAGTAGGGAAGACGTACAGCACTACCGTCGTTCATACGTTGCAAAGACATATTTCCGAATATCGATTCCATTGTTCGCATGATGCTCCCTTTGTAGTCTACCAGAAAACAGACATGGTTATAGCCATCAAGATCCAAACTTTGGAGTTGGATATTGAGGGTTAATGGTAGACTTTTCCATAGACACACCCCGAGCACTCCCTCACTCTCTCACCTCCTCTCCACTCTAACCCAAAAATCCTTCACAAACCACATCAACGCATTCTCAACCTTACACGGCCGTCTCGGGTTCAACACCGTAAAATCATACCTCCTCACCAGCTCCGCCACCACCTTATTCATCTGCATCATCGCCAGCTTTCTTCCCACGCACTCAAACTGTCCGTGACCAAAGATTAATCCTAGCGTGATCTCCATCTCTCTTAGTCTCCTTCCCGCCTCTCCCGGCCCTCCCGCTGCTGCTGCTCCATCCTTCTCGGATGTTTCCAGTTCAAGCCTGGCAGCTTCTTCAGCCTCCAACCACCTTTCCGGCCTAAACACATCCGCATCCTGCCCAAAGATTTGCCGGGAGCGACACATGGCGTAAATAGCCGCGCCCGTGGCTACTTTGGTTCCCGGCGGCAGGGCGAAGCCGGTGATGGTATCCCCTGCCAATCCAACATCTTTATAAAACCCGCCCGTGGCTACAGGCGGTAAGATGCGCAGCGATTCGCGGAGACAGGCTTGCAGGTAGGGGAGGGAGAGGCAGGTGGAGTAGGGTATTGGTTTCTCAATTCCGGGGGAGCCAGTGGTGGAAGAGGAGGAGGTTTTGTGAGAAGGGAATGAGTAGGCGGCGTCCAGCTCGGCTTGTAAGCGGCGGTAAACGTTCGGAGCAGAGGAAAAGAGATGGAGCAGACAGAGGCGGATGCCGTTGGCGACGGTGTCCGAGCCGGCGAAGAGCTGGACTGTTACTTCTTCTTGGAGCTCGGGGCGGGTGAGGCCGTGGGAGATGAAGGATTGGAGCATGTCGTCTGGTTTCTTTTCGGACTTTTCGGACATTGAGGAGGAGGAGTGGAAGGAGTTGAGGCGGCGGTCGATGATGGAGGTTGTGTGGCTGTTGGTTGGTTGGTGATAGTTAGTCGACTGGATTGGAAACGGGAAAGTGGAAGAAGGGAAGGAAGAGGGAAAGGTAAGATGGATATGGCAGAACCACGATAACATACCCCATGATAGCGCCTAACCCAGCTTTATCCCCCGCTCTAGGAAGCAACATGTTGAACGGCCACTTGCGCAGCAACGTGAAGAAGAAGTGGTGGTTGTTGAGGTAGTACATCCACGGAAAGGTGGCCTCGTTGATCTTGAGCACGTCGTTCATGTCCTTGTCGTTGGCGATGTAGCCCAGGGGCTGGCTGTAGGCGATCTCTCCCAGCGAGTCGAGAGCGTAAAAGTGCACGGATTGGGCAATGTCTAGTGGCTGGAAGATGGAGCCCGAGGCCAGGTATTCCGCTCGATCAGCTGCGTCCAGGCGGTGATGGCGCGGTCGAGGCCGGCTTCGATGTTGAAGGTGTGGCTACCTGCGCCTTTGCCGTTGTACTTGGAAGTGTGTTAGCGTCGCAGACAGTACTCGTTGAGATGTGAACAGACTCGTGGTCCACTTACGGCAGGCGCAACCTTCTTCCTTCTCTCTCTCCTCCTATCCTTGTCCGTCATGGATAGCAGATTGTCATCATCACCCATCCGAGCCAGATCGTACCAGTCACTCTTGCGGTAGTCTGACCGGACAGACGTGATTCGGAGTATGGACTCAAGATCGGTGCAGAGGACTTGGTCGGGGCCGAACCGGACAAGCGGCCCATACTTTTCCGCTAGATCTTTCCAAAGCTCATGGACGTCTCCTTTGATGAACTGTCCAGTCATCCAAAGGGATGTCCAACCTGCGAGCTTGGGTCCTGGAACATGCCGAAGGCGACGCCATCTTTGAAACCTTTGTATGGTGTTCCGTAGGCAGAGGATCAGAAATATGACAAGAGACAGTGTTGTCAGAGTTGATAACGCCATCATGCCTTACCCACAATAGAAAGACTTGGAGGGAGTACAGTCTGGGGGGTTCCGTTCAGGATATATACGAGTCCACGACTCTAGACAGCCCCGAGAGGTCCTTCGACACCACCCACCATAGGGGCAGACCACAATCTAACAGGTATCATGTTTGAAGCGCCATACCCCGATCGCATCACATTCGCATTTGACTCGGACTGGCAGTCTGATACTAGCGTCGACGGCACGGTCCACAGCCGCCCACCACAACCACATCGTCTCACGGACGATACGGATGACTTGCCGCCAGCCAACGAGAGCAGTTGATAACGTGTAAAGTCTCGGTTTCCATGCTTCTTCTCTTGGCTACCCTCAAAGAAAGGAGCAGCGTCGTATGCGTAAAACTTATCCCCTGGTTAGCGCGTGATAGAACTGCCTTGGTTGCATCCCGCACTCTGAGTGGAAGTTGGTTCGTAGATCTGGGGGACAGGGGGAATTTACATGATATGATGATATGGCGTCCTCAATTTTCAGCCTCCATTCCCTTCAGCATCCATCTTCAGGCGTTAATGAACGATTCTTGACCGTCCTCGATGTTGGTGCTTTACGACAGGCTTGCCGTTTGCCCATCATAAACACGCGTCAACTGCCCTGACTGTGCCCATTGCCTGGCGCAGTCTAAATATGATGGAAGATATATACCATCTTAAGGAAAGGAAATCGGAGCTGACCAAACAAAGGCGCGAATCAGGTGGTTGAGCCTCTCCTTTGCAAGATGGCGTTCGTGTTGGCCGCAGGGTCAAACGAGATTGCGCATTCATCGATGGGAAAGATGATCGAGAGCAATAATCGTATGTATAACATCCGAGAACTGGACAAGAAATGCAAACCCCTGAGAAAACATGCAAGGAACGCGAATGGCTTCTTCTCCATGGTACCACCCGTAGGCAGCAAGCACAGTGAAAAAAGATATCCAAAATGGATGATGGATTGACATCAAAAATTACGGCCGGAACGGCCCCGAAGGACAATTCATGGCGGCTGGCACCACGATGTGCAATGCAGGCCCTCCGCCATACTACGCGGTGTTCTTGATCTCCGCGCAATCGACCAAGGTAAGTATGAAGAAAAAAAAGAGGAAAGAAAATTCCAAGAATGAGGGGAGGGGGCCGATGTTAAATACCCTTGGTGGAGGGGTCTGTGCACGGGTGCAATTCCTCTGCTGGCTCCACCCCGAATTTCCAGCTGGCCCGTGCACCTGGTTGCGGTGGGTCAATCTGTCAGCTGTCAACCAGGCCGCATCCTTGTCTTTCCACTTTCCACTCTCGACTTCCGTTTCGACATCGACATCGTCAACTCAATACCAGGATGACGACCGACTACTGGCAACCAACTTCGCTGCAGCAACTCATGTCCAGCCCCCAATTCCAAAATGCAAGCGCATTCTTCTCCATCCGACCCAAGTCATCAGCAACATCCCTTTCTTGGTCACTTGTCTCTCGCTTCCCGCAGTTCGCACTTCCAAGCAGCAGTCCCTGTTCGCCAGCACGAAGGCAGTCAACAACCGCCCGCTGCCGTGATGCTGTTTCCTTCGCCCTCAAGTTCACTACGAGAGAGATTGTATGATGGCCTGCGTCAAGCTTGACTTCGGAAGCAGCAGCACAGTTTCCCTAACCTCTTACCATTCATCAACACCAGTTCTTCCCCCCATCTCCAAGTAAACACTGAGCTCCTTCTGATGCTTCCGGCCTTGGCCCTGAAAGCCACCCTGGCAGCTGCGTTTCTCATCTTCCTGTGAGCCTTCATGGTTGGTGATAAAGGTTCTATTTCCCTAATCCGAAGTGAACGATGTCAAGTTGCCATCTTTTCCACCTTGCTCCTCTACTCTTCGTCCTCACCATCATCATCGTCATCGGCATTATCTGGCATTGCTCTCACATCATCATCAACGTCCAACTTCCATTCTCTCTTCCATCTGTCTCTTCCCCTTAGACGGCCTAGAAACGATAACCTTCGGTGCTCTCTTTCCAGTCTTTTCCCGCCCAGCCGGGACGTTAATTGAAAGCCCAATCTCTTGTCCGTGAACGATACTCGACGAGGCAGTGTCGCCGGTGCCGCCAATGGAGCGACAACCACGACCGGCTCTACGACTCCAAATCCCGCCGCAACCCCATCTCCGGCCTCCTAACACGGATTCCTCCACCGGGTCATTCATCGTCCGCCTTCATGTTCCCCGGCAACCTCGACCCGCCGATGACGGTCCGCGAGCTCCTCCAAGCATATCTCCTTTCGTCTTTGCCAATGGCATGCTCCCCCCTCGGCCCCATGATATTGGCAGCATGGACATATATGTCCGCCCGGGTGAGCCGCGAGATCTTCCTCATCTTTTGAAGATCCAACCTGCCTCTACCCAAAACTTGAGGACCTCCGTGAACTTAAGAACATGGCTGCGGTGGCGCGCCAGGCATACGACATATGGGGAAGTACACTTGAGAAATTGCCTTCGAGACGGGAAGCTATGGGTCGCCGTCGCCGAGCTCGCAACTGGAGAAAACTGGATCGTTGGCTTTGCAACTGGCATTCCGCAGGACCGCTGGAACCGAGAAGGGCCTCGCGACAACGTTCTTTACTTCACCATTCATGTTCATGTTTCTGTGCGTCGAATGGGCGTCGGCAGCCAGCTTTTGAAACAGATTGAGCAAGACATGTGGGAGAGAGGTTTTGACTATCTGGTCGCATCGGCTTTTATGCAAGAACCCTGGAAGGAGCCGGAGGAGACGTTCTTGAAAAAGAATGACTTCCAACGATTAAATACGTTGGGATGGCGAAATGGAATGTGTCCGTTGCCACTCATTATGGCTACGCTCCTAATTCTGAACAAGCAGTACAGCGAGATACAGCCGGGTATGCAAAGAACTCTGTGGATCAAAGACCTGCCTCCCAGGCCTGGCTCGAAGCGCTACGGTGACGTCACTCCCCCATCCGATGAGAGCACACCCGAGTCCTACGAGTGGCCTTCACTCCGGAGGCTCCTTGCTGAAGATGATTGAGAGCCGGCAAGGAACAGAAGTTGGTGATGAAGAGCACAAGGAGCTTATCATGTTTTTGTTTTCATTAGCGTATGATTGATATGGATTACAGAACAGCGTACTACTTGGGGTATAACAACCTGACAAAATAGAACAGAACAACTAGCAGCCATCTACTACACAACCATTCTCAACCCGAAGAAATATCAACCTAGTACTGTTCCTCCCAGGACTTCGCGACAGTGTTTTCCATTACACTTCACTCCTCATTTTGTTGACCGGCACCTAACTCATCCAACCCAACCCGCAGCATACATTCAGCCACTATAGCCCCAGCGGGGAGCATTGATTATGATGCCCATCAAGCACCCCGAAATGATGCCGGTCACGGGCAGAGTGATAAACCAGCCCATGTAAATCCAAGCCACAAGGCGCCAGTTGATGGTCCTCCACGTGCCCGAGCAAAGACCAACACCGACGGTAGCGCCCGTAATACACTGGGTAGTCGAAACAGGGAGCTCTGTAAGTTTCAATCATCGTTAGCACGATCAAGTCCCTTCCCCAGGCACCACCAGCACCAAGAACAAGGGATACTGACTCAACCTAGTAGCCAAAATAACCGTCACCGCGCTCCCCAACTCCATCGAAAACCCTCTGCTCGGACTCTGCAGCGTAATCCGATTCCCCAAGTTCCTCATGATATTGTACCCATACGTCCACAACCCAATAACCAAGCACGCACCACCAAACACCAGAATCCACACCGGGACATCCGCCTTGCCCTTCTCCGGCAGCGCGCCGTCTTTCCAAAGCTGGAAAACGGTGGCGTACGGACCAATGGCGTTGGAAATGTCGTTGGCGCCGTGCGTGAAAGAGGCAGTGGCTGCCGTCATGATTTGGAGAAAGGAGTACATGTACTCGGTCTTGTTGTCGTAGTGCGCTGCGTGCGCGTGCAGCTCTTCGACGTCGGACGAGATGACGGATTTCCCGCCTTGCTGGGAGGAGATGACGTCTTGGTCGACGCCGCGGAATAAGGCCCATTTGAGGTACCAGAAGAGGACGGGGGCGGAGTTCCAGGGGCCGGAGGGGCGAGGGCCGACGATGGTCTTGACCTGGGGAGGGGCGGGTTGGGCGGGCTCGTGCTGGTCGTGTGAGGAGGAGGAGGAGTCTTTGGTGATGGTGGTGTTCTCGGGCTGGACCTTTTCGCCGTCGGTGGGAGCGGAGGGGTTGGAGGGGTTGGAGGCGACGGCGCCGGCTCCGGCAGCCATTTCCGAGTCACCGGTTTGAGCGGCGCGGCGGGCAGCGAGTTCCTCCTTGGTCAAGCGGCCGGCGTAGAAATCCTGGACGACACCGGAACCGTCCGCAGGCGGGGGAGGGACCTCTCCGCGGCGGAGAAGGAGGGGGCCGAGAGGGATGTGCCAGAAGCGGAGCTGCCAGTCCTCGAGGATGACGACGCGGTAGAGCCAGGGCATCAAAAAGATGATGACCACCACGCCCCAGGCTGCGCCGACGCCGACGATGGTGCCCGCGATCTCGGGGCTGGACAGCGTCACCTTGTAGCTGCCGCCCTTCCACAACAAAAGCATGCAGAGCAGCGAGGCGGTGATGCCGAAGTAGATGGGCACCATCACAAAGGCCTTGTAGACGGGGTTCGAACGGAGTAGCACGCCGTACTTGGTGAAGAGGAAGATAATGGACGCGAAGGCGCCGGCGAGGCCGGGCGCGATGACCCAGGCGAGGAAGACCGAGACGACGCCGTCGTTGATGCCCGAGCCGACCCATTGGACGCCGTCCGCACCGACGGCCGCGACGCCCATGCCGATGACGCCGCCCATGATGGAGTGGGTGGTGGAGACGGGCAGGCCGAAGCGAGTGGCCATGGTGAGGTAGAGGGAGGAGGCAACGACGGCGCAGACCATGCCCAACATTAGGAGGGCCGGGTCGTCAGCGAAGAGAGTGGTGTCGACTACCTTGGTGCGGATGGTGTCGGCCACGCGGGCACCTACACCGACGGAACCGGCGAATTCCATGATGGAACCGAGGATCATGGCCTGGAGGTAGGTGACGGAGCGGGAGGCGACCGAGGTGGCCCATGAGTTGGCGACATCGTTGGCTCCTGTGTTGAGGAAAGGATTGTTAGTAAGTGTTTCCCAGGCTTGGATATGAGGCAGGTTGTGTGAGTTGAGACATACCAATGTTCCAAGCATCAAGGGCAGCGAAGATGGTGCCAATGGCAAGGAGGTAATCGAACTGATGAAGAACCATCTTGAACGATATGTGACTTCAACCAAAACGGTGAAAAAAAGAGGGTAGTTGGTCGCGTGAGGGTAGGCACGCGAGCGTCTCAAAGAGAAGCTCTTGTGCTTGCTCGGGATGTTGTTTTGTTTGGTGAGTGGCTTGCTGCTGCTGAAGAGAAGACAGGACTGGACTCTGATGGTTTCCATGGTCGGGTCCTATATGTAGGATATACAAGACCGCGCGGGATGGACTGGTCGTGCATAGAGTGCTGCAAAGAAGGGTTGCAACAGGTACGTCCCATCGACAGACAAACGGAATGCGTGTGGGAGTCGATCCCGTCCATGGGTCGGCCACACGTGTGTGGAATCTCAGGATGTGAATGTTTCTTGGTGTTCGTCAGTCAACTTGCCAAGGGCCTAACTGCTGCATATTCGTTCGCCACGGTGACAGTGTGGGAGAGAGGTGGGATGAGCGAGATGGGGTGAGGATGGTGGTGGTGGCCGTCGTGGTGGTGGTGTTGGCTGTTGCTAACATTGTTGTCAACTGGTTCTGGGCATGCCCGCCGTGGTGGAGGGATCTTCCTCTGTTTCGGCTCTGGGCGTGCTCGGCGCGTGGCGAGTGGATATCATGCCAGTGATCTTTGTCGAACAGAAGCGTAATGACAAGACCGTGAAGTCTTGGGGAAGTGGAGTCCGGGGGGAATGGAATGGGGAGAGGAGGATTGGTCAGGTACCGTTCGCCCACCAACACCTCGATCGACTCCTCCAGAGAAAGCTGAAAGTAACATTGGCTGGGAGTGAGCTGGTGCAATTCCTGGCTGTTGGGAGGGCTGGCTTGAGACCATTGGTTTATGGCTTGATACTGATGAGGCATTAAGTCCGGGGGGCAGGAGACACCTTCCCATTTGGCGGTTTGCATAGACGAAAGGGGTTTGTGAAAAGGTTGGGCGATGATACTGCTTGTCTCGTTTTGGACGCTTGGAGGGCTTCCTCGCAGGCGTGCCACCTCCAAAAGATATCCACGGTGAGTATTTGGCCTTGAGGAAAAGAGTGGAATTTGGCGCTCAAGCCATTGACCACTCGGCCAGGTTTTTTGAGCTCAGCGTTGAGTTCTCCTCGAGTGTCTCCCACTTGCAGACAGACATAACGAATATCATCCCGCCGTAATTGAACAAGTCCGCCATGCTCAAACACCCTTCAAGCCCGGTATCATCCGAAACAAGTGGTGATAACAACGAATCACCTCTTCCAACACACAACACGTCCATCGCAGACGTCCAAAGCGGGTATCTTCCACCAGGAGGGACTACCCCCGAGGAAGAAAGGTCCAATATCAAAAGTAAAAGAAAGGGTCTTGGCCGAAGAAGCCAAGAAAAGCCAAGGGCGAAGACCTGAATGCTTATATATTGTCAATGAGTGGGTAGCGCTGTTTTGGGATGTCAAGAAAGAAGAAATCAACGCTCGCCGTCGACGCACGTGGGTCAGTGACACGGACTCTCGCCCGTCGTCGGGGAAGGAGATGCCAAGAAGAAAAGAGCCAAGACATGCGCCATTGTTCAGTGATGTTGTTTTGAAGGCCTTGGGGGGTGTCTGCCTGCTTAAACGCCACGATCTTGGCGTCTTTTCGGCGAATAGGAAGCCTAGAAGAGTCAACGTGGGCAACGCGGTGTTCCTGTGCTCCAAAGAGAACGACGCCAAGATGATCAAGGCGGTGCGCGACTTCACCGAGTACTGCGAGGACGACAAGGCGGCGGTAATCCTGACGGCCGAGCGGGCAGTCGTCGGCGCCGTGGACTCGTGGATTCTGTTTTTGTTTTACGACGGACCGGAGCCCTCCAAGGAGGTCTTTCAGAACTTTACGGACATCGGCGCGGTGCTGAACACGGCGCGCAAGCGCAGCTTTGCGGACATGATAGCTTGGAGCAACTGGGTGGTGCTTCCGGGCTTCAATGTTCTGGGCGGCACGGAGACCATCCCGCTGCCGGATGCCAGCAAGGCCGAGACGGTGTTGGGCGATATCCATGCGCACTGGCGGGTACGGTGGCCAACTTGGGTGAGGGTGGGTTCGTGGCGTCGATTGCGTATCAGCCCGTCCCGAAGCGGATCGTGCAGAAGGCGAGGGAGAGGAGCCCGGATCTGATCGGCATGGATGACTCGGTTGATCGGCTGATTATGGAGGTGAACTTTATATTCCTTCTGCCGTCGGACTATGAGAAGATGCAGGGAGTGATGAAGGAGACGTATTCGGGCATCAGGGAGAAGGTAGTTGGGTGGCAGAAGGATGGGACGTTGCCGGATGCGTATGTGCCTATCTTGATGAGCTATGGAAACTCGCAGCAGGATTACTTTGCGAGGTTGAAGCCCGAGAGTCGGGCGTTGGCCAAGTCGGTGGCAAGCAAGGTTGATCCGAAGGGACTGTTTCGGGATAGGACTGGAGGGTGGAAGCCGTGAAGATGTAGATGATTGTGTATGGTATGTTGGTCTTGTTCATCCATCTTCTCCATTGTATCCAGTGCTTTCCAAGTCATTCGTCTTCAAGTGGTCTCCGAACGAGCTGCTCTCACTCAACGACCGCAAGTGCAAACCTTGGACCCTTGAGGAAGAGGAGGGTGCGTTTCATGGTTCGCATCGTGTTGGGTAATTGATGAATGGGGATATGGAGAAAGGGTGAGAACAAGATCCTTTCAGCATCGCCAGGAATGGAAGTGTTCTCCTAATATCTTGAGTTTTCTCTCTGTTGGCGACACTCACCCAGAACTGGACAGCTGGCTTTCTTGGACGATTAGGCACCAGCGGGAGTAAGAATCTGTTAGCGCAGAAGCCATCTTGAAGCCTCGAGAGTTTCTCATCACCATCTTGTAGGGAAAAGTGTCATGGTGGTTGGACTAACTTGCGTCATTGTCGGTTGTTGTTTCCTTCTGCAAAGGAATTTCACATCCACACATGCGGGCATGATTCCGACATTTTCGCAACCGACGTGTGAACAACATCAATTTTCAAAGGCACACAAAATGACTGGGCATAAAAGAAGAAAGTTGGAAATGGCGACGGCAACATCAAAGCAGTTCTCGGAAGAAAAACTCGCAAAATAAAAAAAAAACTGAGAAAAAGAATGGGGCCACCCGGGGATTGAACCCGGGACCTCTCGCAAGAATGCTCAGGATGAACCCTAAGCGAGAATCATACCACTAGACCAGCGGCCCTGATTGGTTGTTGAAAGAAAGTTGGTAACTCATGTTTATAAAAGCAGATTGTGTTTTCCGGGTAGCAGTTGCAAGATGACTGAGAGAAATCCGCGATATGGCGGATGGGTGATGTGATTTTATTTCCATGGCGCTTGCCGCGTTTTGCCATGCCGATGCCATAAAAATCTTGCCGCGGTACTAGCCAGTACGTACACGCCAAAATCTGACATGTCCACACATGGCTCCAGTCTCACCGCTTCACCACCGAATCATCGCTCTTTGCCCAACACACAACTCCTTCTCATTTCCCAAACCGGGGCATCTCAACATCTGTATGGTCAGCCTACCTGCGATACCCGCCCGATCTAAGCGCCTTTGCGGTTTTCGAAATGCGGTATGGGGAAATCTGACAACTCACACTGCTGCTGTGCTTGATGCCAGAACCCATCGGTTCATCAGCTTCCTGGCTTTTTGATGGCATGGGATTCGACGGGAAACGCATGTTTGCAGATACAAGGGATGGAGGTCGCGCTTATGAGCCTTGTCGGTGTTATCCGGATTCTGGAACCCTTCCGGTTCCAGCTTGAGGCCTAAAAATGGCAACTGATGGATCCGTACCGGATGAGATCGGTACCGACAAGGGTGCAAGCTGATTGTTAATGAACGACCAGGGCCGCTGGCCCAGTGGTAGGATTTGTAGGGTCTAAGTCTAGCCTTGAGCACTGAGCTCTCCGGGTTTCACAAGTCTTTTCACCCAAGGTCCAGGACGTCCAGACTTCCCGGTCTCGTGCAAAAGTCCTTCCAAGGGCATGAACGCGCTAGGCCTTCTCAACAGGTCAATACAGTACCAGAAACACTAGCCCTACATTGATTGCGCTTGTTGGAAGCACTGTGGTCCCTAATTCCGACTGAATGGTTCCCAGCCCCTGTCCAACTTTTAGGTCTCGAACTGTCGGGACTAGTCCTACCAGTTTGGGACGCCCGGCGGCAAAGTTGTCCACGTCAACCCGTGTCAAGGGTCAGCATTGGAGCGAGGCATTCAAGCGAGGCGAAAACGAGGATAGCGCAAGGCTGGGACTGGAGCTAGAGGATCTTGTGACTGTTCGTGATGCCGGCACCGCGCTTGTTAGGCTTGTTGATGGAGTTGGAGAGACCGATTAAGGGGAGGAATGGGATATATACCGCCGCGAAGACTCATAATTGTCATTCATGTTGTACTTGTCAGTGTCGTCGTTCTCAACTTTTCTTATTCTTTCACTCGTTCTCTGTCGGGCTGGTTTCCGACTGCTTCACGTTCCTTGAGCCTTGGTGTGCTGTTTCTGTTCCCATTTTCTTTCTAGGCGTAGAATAAGCCCACCTCCGCATCGGCTCTCGCTCGCTGTTCTCACCTGTTTCTGCGAGTACAAGTCCAACCAGTGACCATGCATCATCCACTCTCCCTTCGATTCCTCGCCAACCTCACCGTTACCATTCTCCTCGCCTCCAACCTTGTCTCTGCCTTCCATGTTGGAGATCTCCTTCACACCTTGCGATCGCTGAGTAGGTCTTAGAATCCCGAGCTCAAAATACCGGAAGCTCCAAGCACTGACGACCCCGTCCCTCATCACAGAAGACGCACCAGCCGGCAGCGTGGCTCTCAATGCCCGCAGCTCAAACCTCACCGCTCCCGCTACCGTTTCCAACGGCACTACTGGCTCCTCCCATCCTGACTCGACGGAAGCAAAAGAAGGCAGACTTGGCCTGGGCGGTCTGTTGCATAACATCTTCGATCGACACGACAAGCCCAGCACCAGCACCACTCTCAATATCCGGGGCTCGAATGGCACCGTAACTCCCGCCGGAGTTTCCAACGGCACCACTCCCAGCGGTGTCTCTCACCCAGACTCCAAAACCGAAGGAGACCATGGATTCCTTGGACTTGGCGGTCTTCTTCACAAGATCTTCAACCGCGATGCCACGCCCATCACCATCACCACCCTCAATATCCGGGGCTCGAATGGCACCGTAACTCCCGCCGGAGTTTCCAACGGCACTGTTTTCACCAGCTCTTCCCACCCGGATGCAGCAACAGATAAGGGACAGGGGCTCGGACTCGGGGGTCTTCTGAACAAGATCTTTGGCCGCTCTAACCCTGTGCCCGTGCCTGTCGAGCCTGAGGATGTTGACGAGGTTGACGGCGAGGTTGGTATGCTTATGAGTCTTAACCGCCGTGCCGAAAGGGACGGAGAGAAAAGGCTGAGCCGTGAGGAGAGGAGAAAGAACCGGGAGAAGAGGCGTGTGAGAAGGGCCATGTCGGCTGCAACTGAGGCTGAGAAGGAGGAGAGGCATGTTGCTCGCTCCAGAGCGTTTCGGGGGTGATGATGGTTGCTAGTTGTCGGACAAGCCAAGATGAGCTTCCGCTATGTTGTTGATATTTTATAGACCGTGCTGGATAAGATTAGATGGTATACCGGGATGAAGGGTTTCGTGTCGCTAGCCATCCATCAATCAACGAAGCCCATATTAGCAGAGCGCCGAACCCCATGTCCCACTAGTATCTCGTGAGTCTTTCTCATTGTCAGGCCAGATGGTCTGCTGTGCCGCTGACAACACAACTCTGAAGATCAGCAATGGGCAGGACACTCTTCCAGCTATAACAGTCCAAGTCCGCCCTACTTTCATGGGAGGGGTAACTTGACCAATGACTCCGTGGTATCCCGATGCTCTCGAGCTGTGATGTTGACCGATCCATAGCTTCGAGCCATCGTAAAGGAGCTTGGGATGTCGCCGGTGACCTGTTGTAATACACTGCATCGAACGCAGTCTGAGTATCATGGAGGATGCTCGAATCGAAGCGCTGGCTCGTCGCGAGGTAAACACCGATCAGGCGCCAGCGGTAGCAACAACGCTCCAACAGCACCACCACCACTCACCTCTTCTTGACATTCTCCATCCACTCCTTACTCGCCTTCGTCCCATCATGTGCACTCCTAAACAACTTCCTCTCCCACTCATCCAACCCCCTCAAAAAGTCCTCTCCCGCGCCTCCCACGCCCAAATTACTGGCATTGTCCTCCTTCGCCGCCTTTCCCTTCCCCTTTCCTCCTGCTCCTCCTCCTCCATCTCTTCCATGATACGAGCTCCCGCCCCCACCCACCTTCCTAGCATGCAACGCAATCTCCGCCGCCCTCGAGACAAACGTCTTCCTTAACACCGCGCTCAGCTCCGGCTCCTCCGACAACTCCATCATGTGCGTGGCGAGCGCGTAGAAGTGGGCGCTCTGATCGCGCAGCGGCACGGAGCGCGGGTCGGCTTTCAAAGCTTGGACGACGTCGTTACCCAGTGCCGGGGGCAGGTCGAAGGTGATGAAGGATTTGCTGGACTGTGATGGGTCGTCCATGTCGACGGCGCCGGTGTTGGCGATGGCGAGCATCTCGGCCAGCCAGATGGGGAGGGCGACGCGCGAGCCAGACTTGAGGGTGTGCCCCGGTTGGTTGTCGAGATAGCCGAGGTCGGGGACGTCGATTTGGAAGGTGCAGGGGATTTTCTGGGGAGGGTTTCGGGTTAGTTGGTGTTTTGGCCATGGGTGGTGAAGGGGGGGGTGGAGGGTACCTCTGCGTCGGTTAGGATCGCATCGATGTCGTAATATGACATGGTGGTGATTTTGGTAGCGTCGATAGAACCGGTCTGGCGTTGGGAAATGGGTTGGACAATGTTGAGTCGGACAATTTGACGTGAACCAAGCTTGTGTCGATGTCGAGATCAATTCAGGGAGACGCGCTCTGGAAGTGGGAGACGCGACGGAGAAAGAGTGCCGCAATGCCAAGAGACCTCTCCAGCCACACCAAGCCATATCCACTTCTCCACCTCGGCGGGGTGGGGCTATGACGGAATTGAATCGGTTTCCATGGAGCTTCCATCCGAGCTATTAGATAAGTAAATAGAAGAGACATTTCCCGATAGTCGCAATCAGTCATCCAAATCACTTACTCCGAGGTAGCCGCCGTCCCATTGATCATCTAATTGTCCTTTTCTCGCATCTCAAGACCTAACCAGTTCACCTAATTACTAGTATCTCTCGATAAACAAGCCATCAAAATGTCCACCTCTCTCTTCCGCGCTACTCCGGTCGCCCGCAGCGCTCTGCGCGCCGCCAGCGCCGTCAAGCCCGCCGCTACCTTTGTCCGCGGCAAGGCCACTCTTCCCGACCTTCAGTGTGAGTCTCCCTCCTCCCACACTCGCTTGCCCTCACAATACCTCTCCTCAGTTCTTCCCCCATCCTCCGCGCGCCTACAAGGAACTCCCGATGAAGCTTTCCCGGAAACCCCCAAGCTAACTCACCCCCCCTCCCCCAGACGACTACGGCGCCCTCGAGCCCTACATCTCCTCCAAGATCATGGAGCTCCACCACTCCAAGCACCACCAGACCTACGTCAACGGCCTCAACTCCGCGCTGACCACCATCGTCGAGGCCGAGTCCAAGGGCGACTTCACCAAGGCAGCTTCCGTCGCCCCCCTCCTCAACTTCCACGGCGGCGGCCACCTCAACCACACTTTGTTCTGGGAGAACCTGGCCCCCGCCTCGCGCGAGGGTGGTGGCTCGCCCGATGGCGCGCTCGGCAAGGCCATCACGACCGAGTTCGGTTCGTTTGAGAGCTTCGTGAAGCAGATGAATGCCGCGCTGGCCGGCATCCAGGGTTCGGGTTGGGCGTGGTTGGCCAAGGATAAGGCTGCGAACGGCAAGCTGGCGCTGATTACCCGTGCTAACCAGGACCCTGTTACTGGCAACTTTGTGCCCCTGCTGGGCATTGATGCGTGGGAGCATGCGTACTACTTGCAGTATGAGAACAGGAAGGCGGAGTACTTTGAGGCGATCTGGAACGTGATCAACTGGAAGACTGTTGCCAAGAGGTTTGAGGCTTAAGTTATATACCTTTGGGGGAGTAGTAGCAGGGGCGTTTGTTAATTGAATGAAGTGTTACTGCTGTGCAGAAGCTTGTGATTATCTGGTGGCTGTGTCGTGTGTGATATCAATTGCGGTTACGAGAGGGTCACGAAGCGTCAGGTCAACGGTGCAGGAAGGAATTTGACGTTAGAGCGGCACGTACGTGTCCAGTCATGGGTTCACATCGACATAAAGTTCTCGAGTAGAGACAGAATCTGTACTTTTGGGTTTACCATGACTGATTCGCTTCTGGCGCAAGGGGTACCCTGCTATATACTTAACTTTTAGCCAGGAACCGCTGGTGGCATCGCGTATCTCCGTTGAACCCTGTGTGTTGTTTATATGACGAGACAGGTCAACCTTGACGAATGGTCCATGGCTGGCTAGGATGATGGTACGCTCTTTTCCTGGATTCTTGACAGTGACATGGCCCGAGAACTGGATCGAGATGTACAGTGACTTCACACTTCATGTCATAGAGGTATTCAAGATCCAAGTCTGCAAAATTCTAGACCACTTATCGATTCAGATAAGGAGGAAGCTTGATGACCACCAACCCAAGTTACTACGAATGGACCTGATTCATTAATAACTCCCCTAGCCCATAACCTTAAACGCATTGCCATGCCACTCTGCCCGTGAACATGGTTCTGGAAAAGTCCTGTACCTTCCATGCTTCGATATGAATCTCGACCCAAGCGAGCGGTCGTCAGAATAAACCGAACACGTCACATCAGACCTTGGGTATACTACTGCACTCATCCATGCGAAGATAAGTGACATGCCCGCCTCAGGGTCCGTGGCCTTGAGAGTGGGTTCGTGGTAAGCCCCAGCAAGGCCAGCAGCAAGTATCATCATCCTATATAAGGCAAGATGTACGCGATCGCTCCATTCGGGCATGGAACAGGGTTCCTCGGGTGAAACTGTTTCCCCCCGAGCTTGTTGCGGCCTATCATTAGGAAAACTCCATACACGACACGGCCAATGATGGAGCCTGGCTTCCCGATTTCGTGCCAGGAGATTCAGGTCCCTGACCTGATGGTATTCTGAAAGAGTCATGCTTAACTTTGGGCTGGCAGAACCACTCAGTAGGTCACCAGGCGAGATGTCCATAGGGGGTAATCTCCCCCTTATCTCGGCATCGGCAACCTTTCTTGTCATGCGGGCCTGGTTTAGTTTGAAATCAGCACATGGACTTGAGCAACTGAGGGAACGGGACACACAGCAAGCAAGGCCTCTTGAGCATGAGGAACATGCTCGACGCAGAGGTTCCATAGAAGGGCGCTTCTGTGGGTGGTCCAGTGATTCCGGAGACTGCTACAGGCCAAGGAGAGGGCCACGGCACCTTGGATGTGCTCAGAGGTTATGGATTGAAATATGGCGTAGATGAGCTCGGTTGGTGCCCGATGAGCTAGGAAGTTGGATGCGTCCATGGGGGTTGCTGTAGAGTTCCAACTGAGGCTTTTCGTGCTTCACAAACTGATGAGAAAGAGGGAAACTTGGGAATTACTGGGCGGCCTGGAATTTGTCGTGGTATAAGTCATTGAGGACTTTATTCCAGGACATGATGAGTTTATTGGCTGAAGAGAGGTGAATGAATACACGACATTAATTGTGGTGGGTGACGACGGCCACCGGAAGGGACTACTCTTGAGCTGAATTGCCAAGAGGTTTTTGGGAAATGAAGATATGGTGGGCTCACCTTGGCTAAGGAGGAAAGAAGAAAACAACAAAAGCAAATGAAAAGCCAACTCTTAGAATTGGGTTTGTTGGGTGAGACCGAAGTGTACAACATCACAGACGTGTCCCTGGATAATGCTCAGGCTTGTGATCGCCGAATACCCGCGAGATGGGTTTCCGGAGAACAGGGATGCCGGTTCCCGGATCTGAGGGACGAAACCGTTTGTCGTTTGTTCCTGTCTTTTTGGCTGTGGGAGGCGCCGAGGTGAGGTTCTCGCTGTCGGTCGGACGATGAAGCATCAGTCCACATGACGCGTGACCAGCTGCCGGGAATTGTCTAGACGAGTAAAGGTGAAGAAATTGGGCACTCGTCCGCATCTTCTACCGTATAATCTCGCGAAATTCGGAATCCAGGCCAGGCATAACCGTGCGGATCCTGTAGGGTTAAAGGTTTGCCAATTGCGTTTGGCTGTATGTACTCAGATGTTGATGCAAAAGGCAGAGCTTTAACCCTGCATTGCCGGCCCGGCCTGGATTCCGAATTTCGCGAGATTATACGGTATATTCCGCCGTATTTCTGCTTCTTTCAGCCCGGCGAGACATGGCTCGATCCAATGGGAGTTCAAATGGAAGGAATCAACTTTTTCATTCCCGGAGGGCGCGACTGCCCAAGTCAACCCGATGCCGGCCGGGCGCCGTTGGAACCCGTTCGTCGTCGCCGTTGAAATGACGGAAATGACTGACCCACAAGGCTTGGCCCGTTGAAAAGCGCCGGAGCCTGCCCCGGCACGCCTGTCTTTTCTAGCGGCTTGGCAAAGTCGTGATGCCCCTCTTTCACTCCGCACTGACGCTTCAACCCCACTATTAGGGCCTAGCTCATGGCGGATGAGACCCGAAGACGACGACCTCGACGGCTGTGGGGGGGACTGGAATTGAATCATTGGAAACCAAGTTCAGCATCAATTGAACTCGCCATGTTCGTATTCTGATCCTGGAGGGCTGGAGGGGATCTGGGGCCGAGCTTGAAAGACGACAAGCTCGATGTTACGAGATTGGTTCATGATAGACGCTCGGCACCTTGCTACTAGTCCTCAGCAGATTCATCGTATGACGCCTTCCGAAGAACAGTACCCCGGAAGCGATGGCATGACGATGTCCCCTTTCCCAGTTCCGAGTTCCCGTAGGCATGATCTGCACACAACAACCGGGGTGTAAGGGAGCTCCAGCTTGTTAGCATCATCACAACGGGCAAAAGTGGGTATCAAGTACATCATCCATCATGAAGAGGCAACCGGCTCCCAAGGCAAAAGGGTTGGAAAATCCAACCATAAAGGATACGAGATGCGCAGTTATCTCGAGTGAGAAGAACGACCAGTTCATCCCGTTGCCAAGCGTCACCAGTGAAAACACCCAGTTTCGACTCAAGACGACCATACCATCACCCGTTTCCCGACGCTCGACAGACTTCCCCCCGCGAGACATGCCTCGTCTACCAAGCACCAACCCCGGATGCTGCGGGTGACCCGGAAGGAAAACCACGGCTATCACGTTGTGATGCGGTGATTGCTTCCCTTCACCGACCTTTGTGCCCATTACATTTCATCGATGCAAAGAGCAATTCGTACCGGGACAGCTCTCCTTGGCTTACATCCAACACCGTCCCTCATAGCTTCGAGATGCCTTCTCCCAGTGGGACGGCGTCGATCTCAGCTGCCACCACATCTGGGGATGTCACCAGCAATACCAAGTGGAGTGTTACGGACAAAGTGCTTGCAAGTTGCACACATCTCACATCCTCCCATACACAGCATCGACCTTGAAATACAAAGGGTAATACAGTCGTACCCCGACAAAGGGCCACAGATTGGCAGTGGCACCTTTCCCTCGGACAAGAGAGGTAAACTTTTGCGAGTTAATCTCCGAAATTACACTTATACTTGTGACCGGTGTCATTGAAATAGGAAGCTGAAACTGTCACGGGTTGACCGGTAACCAATAATGGCGGACCACACCACCAACCTCAGCGTGAATGTGGAAGAGGGATTCGGCAAGACAGCCTCATATGCCCGTGCCCGTATCGCCGCCGCGGGGGTCTGAAAGTAGAGGTAAAAAAAGGGAAAACCCCGCCTTTAAAGTTGACGAGAGAGTCGACGGAAACTGACAAGGATCAACCAGACAATGCAGATGGCCAGACGGGAAAGAAGGAGGGGGTCCCGGGGGTCCAGCCAAACGAGAGCGACAAGGTGAGATTGTGTGGCATCCATCATACAATGCAGTTGCAATGCACTCAGCTACCCGCACGTGTGTCGTCACCACCTCCCTCCACCTTCTGCCACCAAAAGATATTTCCCTTCCCAATTACACCACCCACTCAGGCCACTGCCGTGAAACGTGAAGCCATCAATTGGATCCAATGTCCGGGAGTGGTAGCATTTCGGGCGCCATCGCCTTCAAAAATCCATTCGAAGACACCACCCCGCGCCACCCAGCCGCGAGCTCGACTGACAACGCCTCGTCCCCCTCCGGCACAAAAAGCCCCAGTCCGCTGCACAACATCGGGCCCTACGGCTCGCATTATCACAGACCTTCTCTTGGCGTCCAGCAGCTACTCAGTAATCTTCAACCCAGAGATCCACTGGCCGACCACACGCCTGCCCCCATCAGCGACACTGTTGCGTATAATACCACTTCCGCCTCCGAAGAAGTGTTACGATCCCTTCCTCCTCAGCTCCAGGAGCAACAACAACTCGACCACACCCAGGCCAACACCGGCCACTACACGCTTTCTAGCGGCGACAACACCCAGACATACGATACCCAGTCGGCCGCCCACCATCACCACAGCCTCAAGCCCATCGCAACCGCAATCATGGCGTTCGAAAAGGCCCGCAAGTTCTCCACGGGCACTTCGGTGCACCGTAAGCGCCAGATGAGCACTCTGGTGGAGAAGGAGGGTCACTTTGGTCCTGCTCTGACTGTGAGTACCTTGCCTGTGGCGGCCTGCTTGACTAGGTGCTTCGACGTTCCATACTAACATTGGATGTCCCATAGACGCTCTACCTTGGTATCTCTGCCGTCTTCGCTGATGACCACACGGCCGTTGTGGCGCTGGCCATCCACGACACAGTCTACCTGGTTGACTTTTCGGTCAAGCACATTGAGCTCGATGACGCCCTGAAAATGGGCGAGGACCTCATCGCAGAATATGTCATCTCCGAAGTGCAAAAGTACGAGCACGAGAACTTCTCCAAGTTCATCGGTGCTGGTCTCCCCACGACACTCAAGTACATGAGCCCGACTCTCTGTTCGCGGCTCTGGCTCGAGGTGGACATTGTGCCCATCGTCATGCGCCCAGATGATGAGCACAAGGAAAAGACCTTCTGGGATGTCAAGCGAGTCGATGAACAGGCCGATTCCATGGCCCGAAAGTGCATCATGTAAGCTCCCCCCCCATCAGTTACGCCCAGAAGAGCATACGAACTGACAGCCATTGTTAGGAACTTTGGCCCTTCTCTCGTTCCCCTCCTCCAGGTCGGATTCCGAGGTATCGTCCAAACCGATGCTGGATTCCGCGCCCACCTCACCAGCGTCCAGAACCACAAAGATACATGCACTCCGGCATCGTGGGAAACCTGTCTGACATTTGCCAAGAAGCTTCGTGCCAACAAGACCAAGCTCGCCTTCTTCAGCTCAACACCCCAAGGCGGTGGTGTTGCACTTATGCGGCACGCTCTCGTGCGCTTTGCTCGTCTTTTGGGTGTCGACCTCACCTGGTACGGTAAGTAGAACAGTTCGCTGTCCGAAATGCTAGACGGTCAACTAACACTTTTCCAGTGCCAAAACCACGGCCCGGTGTCTTCCGCATTACCAAGAACATCCACAATATTCTGCAGGGTGTCAGCCATCCCGATCAGCGCGTATCTGCCGAAGAGAAGCAGGCCATCATTGATTGGATTGACGAGAATGCCAGTCGATACTGGTTCTCCGAGGGCGGACCTTTGCGTGCCCCCGAGGAAGGAGGTGCTGATATTATCGTGATTGATGACCCTCAAATGCCCGGCTTGATTCCCCTGATCAAGAAGTATACCCCTGACCGCCCCGTTCTCTACCGCTCGCACATCCAGATTCGCAGCGACCTCGTTGCCAAGGCCGGTTCGCCTCAAGCCGACATCTGGGATTTCCTTTGGAGCAACATTCAGCTCGCCGACATGTTCATCAGCCACCCTATTCCCCAATTCGTCCCTCACACCGTCCCGCGCGACAAGGTCGCCTACTTCCCAGCCACCACCGACTGGCTAGACGGCCTAAACAAGCACCTCAACCACTGGGACTCGGGTTACTACGGCCATCTGTACAACAACGCCTGCCATTCGCAGCGCATGACGGAGCTCAACTGGCCCGCCCGCAAGTACATCATCCAGGTGGCCCGCTTCGACCCATCCAAGGGCATCCCCACCGTTATCGACTCGTATGCCGAGTTCCGTCGCCGCTGCGACAGGGCCAACATCACCGACGTGCCGCAGCTCGTTGTGTGCGGCAATGGCTCCGTCGATGACCCCGACGCCTCCCTCATCTACGATCAGACCATGGCCCAGCTTGAGACGTACTACCCCGACTTGATTCGGGACGTCAGCGTCATGCGTCTGGAGCCCAACGACCAGCTCATCAACACCTTGCTCTCCAACGCCCATGTCGCGTTGCAGCTCTCCACACGCGAAGGCTTTGAGGTCAAGGTTTCCGAGGCCTTGCACGCCGGCAGACCCGTCATCGTCTCCAACGTTGGCGGTATCCCGCTGCAAGTCAAGGACAAGGTCAATGGCTTCCTCGTCGAGGCTGGCGATTGGCGTGCCGTGGCCGGTCATCTGATGGACCTGTTCACCGATGACGAGCTCTGGAAGAAGATGAGCCATGCGGCACGGACGGGTGTCTCTGATGAGGTCGGCACTGTCGGTAACGGGCTTGGCTGGTTCTACTTGGCTTCCAAGTGGACTGAAGTCGGCGTAGAGAAGAATGGCAAGGGTGGATTGAAGGGCAATGACCAGTGGGTGAACGACATGGCGAGGGCAGAGGCCGGATACTTGTACACCCAAGGGGAGAACCGGTTGCCGAGACACTTTACGCAGAGAAAGCCGGAGTCCGAGCCGGAGTCTAAGGACTTGCCAGTTCATGAGAAGCAGGCGGAGGTTGCTGCTTGATTTTATGTTGACGGATCGCTTGTTTCTGTTCGAGTTGGTACAGATACTATGTTAAAGGATGAGTTAGTAATGGGCATGTTTGTTAGTTTAAGATATGAGGTCATCATTGATGTGTCTTTCCAGTTGCCGCTTCAAGGAGATATGAGAAAATAAAGCCTCTTCTGTCACGGTGGATGCTCATCGTGTAGCATCTTTCGTAGTGATCAATGAAAGCTCGCCAGTCTCATGCAGCCGCTGCGCGTCTGGCGGTCGGCTAGAATTCTGTAAGGAGCAGATGTCACCTTGTGACAGGCAACCAAGCAGCAGGCACCGAAAATTACTGAACTACATACCTCTGTCTAGACAGTGAAGCTTCGGCTTTCGCAAGGATAACTCGTCAGTCGTCACGGTCCAACACGCCAAATAAGATGTCCCAGATGAAATCGATCAAGGTGTACGTCCCATGGAGTCCGCTCGCCCCCTCCGAAGCTGTTAGTGGTGAGATTACCCATAGCGCCGTAGCCGAATACCGGTCCTTGTTGTCGGTCTCGTGTCTTAATGCCCCTCGAGATGAGTCGCGTTGCCAGAGAGGGTTGTGTCAATATTCGAACACTGTATGATCAAGAGTTTAGAAGGAGCAGTAATGAGAGGGTTAGGGTTCAAGCATATGACGCGAGAGCACGTGCTGCAGGTGCCTATCACACAGATCCACTTATAGTGGGGATGGGGTGCTCCAACAGCTAAATTGAGTCGCGCTTTAAACGCGTCCCCCAAAAAGTTCCCAACATTCCAGGACCGGAAGAATTGACATTGTCGCAACTTATTCACCATATTGAAGAGTAGGAACTGAACTTTGTTGACACTCTTGCGACTTCATATACCATCAACCACCAAACAATAACCGATTGGACATCAACCCCAGCAATGACAGTCACCCCATCCGAACCCGCTGCGCCGGCGCAGTCGCAGTCGCAGTCGCAAACCTCGTCCTCCTCTCCCACCAACCCACCAAAGCGCCACGAAGAATACCAATACCTCGATCTCGTCCGCCAAATCCTTGACGAAGGTGAACTCCGTGAAGACCGGTACGTTTCAGTCTCCCGTTACAATCCCCTCCCACCTCCAGTCCTAGCTAACATTCTCTCCCCGCACCACAGAACAGGAACAGGCACCTACTCCATCTTCGCCCCGACGCCCCTAAAATTCGCCCTCTCCCGACCTTCCTCACCTTCATCATCGGACCCGTCCTCTCCAAACTACACCTACACCCCGATCCTCCCGCTCCTCACAACCAAGCGCGTCTTCACCAAAGCCGTCCTCCTCGAGCTCCTCTGGTTCATCAGCGCCTCTACTTCCTCCACCACCCTCTCCGCCCAGGGAGTCAAAATCTGGGACGGCAACGGTTCCCGCGCCTTCCTCGACATGCTCGGCCTCACGCACCGCAAAGAAGGCGACCTGGGTCCCGTGTACGGCTTCCAATGGCGGCACTTTGGCGCCGAGTACGTCGATTGCGAGACCGACTATACGGGGCAGGGCGTGGACCAACTCCAGCGCATCATCGACACTCTGAGAAAAAACCCGTACGATCGGAGACTGATTCTGAGTGCGTGGAATCCCAAGGACATGAGCCAGATGGTGCTGCCGCCTTGTCACATGTTTGCGCAGTTTTATGTGTCGTACCCGGGGTCGAGGACACGGGGGGCACAGGCACAGGCACAGGCACAGAAGGAGGGGGACACACCAAAAGAGAAGCCAAGGGGTCACTTGCACTGCCAGTTGTATCAGCGGTCCTGCGATATGGGATTGGGAGTGCCCTTCAACATTGCCAGCTACGCGCTGCTGACGCACATGCTCGCGCACGTGTGCGATTTGGTACCGGGGAGCTTGACTCATGTTATGGGCGATGCGCACGTCTATCTCAACCATGTGGACGCGCTCAAGACGCAGCTGGAGCGCGAGCCGAGGGAGGTCCCGACGTTGGAGATCAAGAGGGAGAAGGGCGGCAGTATTGATGGGTGGAAGGCTGAGGATTTTGTTATCAAGGGGTATGAGCCACACAAGACTATTGCCATGGAGATGTCTGTCTAGGTCAATTGTCTGGTACGATGATCACGGTATCTTCAATTCGTCTTTTTCTTCCGTTTACGGCTTTGTTTTTCATGGCTTATCGTGCGTCTGTGCTAATAGTGAATACATCGGGACCGACTGGCGACATGGCAAAGCTGGCAATGGAAAAGCATCATGGTAGTCATCAAAAATCTGTTTATTTGCCTATATCAAAATTCGCTACTACTCCAGATCCACATCGAATTCCTCCCATTATTACCCATCTCTGAATGAAGTTCCTTCTCATCCCTCCGAGGCTTGTCCTTTTCGTCATTTCCATTGTCAGAGCCATTGGCAACATCATTTTGCTTTTCCAACGTCTGAGGAGCGATAAGTAGTGGCAACGGAGCTTGTTCTTTCAATGTTAGGGTCCAAACTAGAAGTGACACACCCCCACCCTTCGCCAGTGGCACCATTCAGACCACCACCACTAATCTGGTTCTGGAAACTCTTGTACTGGTCTCCAAGAATGGCGACTTTGCCCTGCATTGTTCTTCGTCGTGATAGTCTTAGTCACCTTGTTAGACGCCTCTCGGTGCCTGGTTGAGATCTGCTTTGCCGGCATCGCCGACGGCTGCCTTATAGGGATCACGGGCAAGGCTTGGGGCAATTGAAAGCTGCGGGGGTTGCTGCTGTGGCTCGGCTTCTTGATTGCGGGCGCCATAATGTATACTCCTCGTCATCGCCGTGGAAGTCCCACTATCCCATAAAACGAGCTGTAATGTAGCAGTTTTAGTACATCAATGACGACTTCGTAAAGCTGGGAGAAGGATGAAAGTTGCCATGACTTGCCTTGTTCCGGTTGAACTTTGTCTGTCGGCCACCACCAACTAGTCCAAGAATGTTTGTGCGACCAAGCATCTGGACCATCCCGATCCCAGCACCGAAGTCTTTGGAAGGATATATTCATGAGATCCGGAAATAAGCACCGAGTTCTGAGTGGTCGTTGGACTGCCTCCAGACATAGGGAGACTGAGGTGCTGGAGGGTTATTGTGCGGCTCTTTCGGCGAACGCTCTGGAGGTGGTGACGGCTGTTGCTGTACTTTCGGCTTGTTCCTGCTGCCCTTCGGCCTTCCCCGGCGCTTCGGCGGAGGAGGAGCGTGTGTAAGGGTCCGAATCGTAGGATAGGTCGCTGGGTGCTCTGTAAAGGCGCCGATGCGAGACAAAACGATCGGACCAAATAATGGCCAAAGAGAATTTGAGGTCAGGCTTTGTGTAGCCATTGGAGGCTGCTTGGCGTACTGTTGTAGCTGGCCCCAACCGGAAAGTGCCGACTGACCCTCAGGAAGAGGGTGAATTGATGGCCGCATCTCGGGCTGATGGTGGCCAAGCTGCGGCAACATTTATTTTGCCTCTTCCCGAGGGACTTGGTCCACTCCTTCCCAGTGCTTATTGCCGTTGTAAAAAATCCAAATACGGAGGATAGGCAGTCTAGACTCAGTCGACTCGAGAATTTCTAGTTGGAAGACTAGAGGCAGCCGCTTCACGCCTTCATTGGCGGTTATAAAGCCCAGCTGCACTCCTCCCCAGCGGTTCCTGTCCATACGGCTGGGCGTCGTGGATGTTTTTTGACGCCGGTGGCGATCATAGCCTGACTGTCGATGTAGGCCAGCGTGGAATTTCTCAGATAGCGACCTTCCCTGAAAGGAGTAAATCTGGGGAAGCCAGGCGAGCGGTTAGCAGCGTCTTCATATGAACCTGGTGGAGCCTGCAATTTAAAGAATAAAATGTTGCAACATGAGGTACTCACTGGATTTCCTCCGTCTCTTCCTCACTAATCGTTCACGACAGGAGGGATCCAATAGACATGCCCGTTCTTAATCATCTCCCTCCATTCGATTCGGCCTCATAAATCTCCCTCGTTGGTCTCGGACTCGGACTACGCGGCGTTTGCGCTTCCTGTCGGTGAGAAGCATTCTCGTGGGCGACGGTATATGAAACTTTCTAGGATCCAACTCATTGTGTAGGACTGAGGAAATGACCACCGGGTGGTCAAATGCATTGCGATCTCGGGAGAGAAGCTCGTAGGCATCAAGCAAAGATTGCTTGTCCGAAGATAAGCAGTGGACTTTGAATCGTTCGAGGAAAACGTCCTCGCCGGCGTCGGGGTGGAAGGGCACCGGATATTGACGACCAGAAGGGTCAGCTGAGACACCGTGCCGTGGTTGCGGTGGTCCACCTGCCGCCTCTCATCTCCAACTCCTCAAGGGCGTCGACGGCCCTTTTCCTCTTCCTCTCCCCCAATAGTCTGTTGTGGTCGGCCGGCCGGCAAAACCGATGGCGGGTGCGACGGCGGCTGTGAAGCTCTGGGCTGGGCCGCGGAGGCGTTCTTATACTTCTCAACGCTTGCCAAGGCGGCGACACTGCCCGTGAAAGCGATATTACCTCTGGCACTCAAAGTAACGCTGGTAGGAGCAGTAGCCGAAGCAATTCCCGAAGCCGCGCCAAAGACACCACCCGAACCGGAATGAGAAGCAACAGTTGAGGCACCAGATGACATTGAAGTCATTCTCTGCACAGCTGGAGCTACCTGTTGCTGCCAAATCATCTGTCCGCTACCGCCGAGGCACACCACCGTCTTCTCGTAATATGCAAGTTGGAACTCGTCCCCATCCTTCGGGACGACTTTCTTGGCCGTCTCCGGCCAACCCTCAAGCTGGGGAGTGAGCCACTTCGGGTTCTCGGGGTTCTTGCGAGGCCTGCCTCGCTTCCGTCAGTCGTCGGGGCAATCGTGGCGACCCCCCATTTTGTCCTTTATAAGTTCCGTATTAGTTTTGAGTCAACCACCTGCTTGAACTCTTTGCGTGCGCTCGGATCCAGAAGACGGACGGCACCGATGATGGGGATGCCTCACCGACCTCATGATCTACATCCTCATCGATATGAATCTCAACCACGTCCTCGGAATACCCATCCTCTATGTCTTCCTCAGGCCACTGGATAACCACTTAGTCTCCCACAGTGCTTGATCCCATCATGATGAGGGATCATCGCCTCAAACGCCTCGTCGCCCATGAGCCAGTGCTTGGGAGTTGTGCCTAGTCGGCCCAACCCGCCACAACCAGGCGGAGCTAATCCATCTGCACTTTCCAAAGCCCCAAAGCACCTTGTCTTCCTGTATGGCAACCCCCAAGCGGCTCATGTATTCATGAGGTCAATGCCTTTTGCTAAAGCTTCCTCAGGAGATGTGACAAACTCAGTCAGCTTGACCAAGTGCATTAGCAACCGGATCGCCGTCAAGCAATCCAGCGTACCTCGCACGGTCGACGAGAGACGGTATCTCAAGCTCAGATGCGTATGCAGCTTCTAACTTCCTCTTCGTGTCTTGAAGATTTTTCGCTTCGCTAACAGCTCCTTTAACAGCCTGGGGATTCGACTTTTCCATGAGGACGCGGAACTTATCGACGTCGGTACGATCCAAGTCGTGTGCGGCTTGCGAAATTTTGTTGCCCGCTAGGTCTCGATCGAGGATTGCCATTCTGGCCTGGCATGCCTCTTCGATTCGCTGAGGGTCGATATCTTCCCTATCAAGGTTGACAAGCTGGTGCCTCTTGGGCGGTCCGCCGGCAGGACGGACCTATTGTAGCGCGCTAGAGCACGATCGTAGTGTTCTTTCACCTTCTCTTCAGGAAGATATGGGTTGGCGGCTGTTGCCAACCTTTGCGAGTTCGCCAACATACCGACCAATGAACCTTACTAAGACAAGCCGTTCAGGATCCATTGAGGGAAATGTGACAAACTCAGTCAGCTTGACCAAATGCAGGATTACAGGTAGCAACCGGATCGCCGTCAAGCAATCCAGTGTACTTCGCACGGTCGACGAAGGACGGTACCAGAAGCTCAGATGCGTATACACGCTCCAACTTCTCCTGTATCCTTCGAACATTTTTCGCTTCGCTAACAGCTCCTTCAACAGCCCCCGGAGACAAAGTATCCATGATGGCGCGGAACTTATTGACGAGGGTAAGACTCTGGTCGTAGTCAGCCTGCGAGATTATGTTTGGCCATACTTGGCGAGACATTGTATGTTTGTGGTAGGCCCAAAGGGCGAAATAGCGAGATGGAACCGACGGGTAAAAGGTAACTCTAAAGTCGATCTGAAAGCTACGACTGACATGGCAGTAAGGGGCGAGAGCACGCATGCCAACAACCCGACTCTTGGAAGATTCTTCCATCATATGGACGAAGCGGATAAAGCTGGGTCCCGGAGGCAGTTCCAGGGGCGGTCGCCGAAGGGGCAGAAGTGGCAGCTTCTAGAGGATCATGTTGGACTTCAGTGGTGTACCATAGCATCCCCTCTACGGTGCCAGCTGTTCCAATCTCTTATCAACATTGTTTCTAAAGTTCATCCACGACCTCTGCGCCTCTCGAACGTGGATCTGGTTTTCAGCATTGAAGCAGAATGTGGCTTCTATGCGCTCAGGGTCACCAGCCGGTTCTGGTTCGTGATGGTCTGGTTTTCCACAAATGTGTCGCCGAACAGGTCGTCCGGATCCTCAGTGTTCTCAAAATCCTCGAGTAACTTGTCGCCTGGGCCACCTAAAAACAGGCGTCGTTGGAGCCGTAATGAGCCATGATCGTACCGTTATCGGAACGAAAATCACCAGTGGTGGCAAAGAACATCTTCCCACCAGTTTTGGTCTGGTAACCAAATCGGTCAAGGATAGGACTCCTCAACAGCATGAAGGAGAGTAAGCCGTAGAGTTTCTTGACAAAGGGAGCATCCTTGCCAAAACGACGCTCACCATATAGGTAGTTGTCGGTCGGGTCGACTGCGGTTGTCTAGAACCGCTTCCACAATCTTCGTGTGGAAATCCACAGTGGGCATTTTAGTGATTCCTCTCTTGAGTTTCGACAGCGAGGTCTTGGCGAGAAAAATGGGTATTGAGACGGGTCCTTAGTTAGACTCTGCTTGGTCTCCAACACGCACGCCGTGCCGGCTTGGACGGTAGCCGACGCGTTGTCCGCCGTGCACATGCATTTGTAGTCGGTATCCGAGCTATGGTTCGGGCTCGCTGCCTCGCTAGGACTAATCACTGGGGACGTCAAAGCACCCATGGATGCTGTCCAGTACGAAACGACGGTTTCAATCGTGCCTTGGCGAGATTATGTCCTGCTGAACATGTCATCTCCGGGTGAGGGGTCCGTTTTCTGTTGTTTCTCTTGAAGGATCTAAAGATCCTTGTCCTTGGCCGGAGGTCTTTGCAACTATAGTTGCACTGGAACACGACGGTTCCTCCTCGGTTTTTGCTGCTGTGTCGGTGAGAGTGGATGGCTTGTTCTGGTGAAGAACCGGAGCCGACCATGCTCTTCTGTGCCCAAAAGGCACCCAGCCCGGGCTAAGGGAATGTGACTGTAAAGACGAGGTCTTGGAGGGGATGTGAACTCTCGAAGAATGATCAGGCCCGAATATCGAGGGCGTGGAAAGGGTAGGTCCGCCGTCAGTTGAGGTTGAAACAGGTTTCGTTGTTTCCAATGGCTTCAAATCATGCAAATGTCCCCTTTCAACATCAAAGGAAGGATGTTTAAAGCGTGGCATGGAGCTAGCCAGGTCGTCCTTCGATCCTGTAGGCCCATGCTTGCAAAAGTACAGGGTGGGATTAAAGATCTGACCGAATCCGGGATCCATCCACCGATACCGAACGTCATACACCAGATCAATGAATAGATCTGGGAATCGGCGGTCGAAGTGGTTCTCAAGCAATAAGCCGCCTTGCTCCAGTGGCTCCACCAAGTCTTCACCGCGAATGAGCTCTGGATCATCCCACGTCAAGGAAGCTTGTGATTTGAAGGATTGTTGGGGCGTAAATGTGGCAGACCTGGAGCCTCCCATCCCACCCTTTAAGCCGCCTCCAAATTTCATTTGCTGAAGGTCCTTTATGCGTGCTCTGATGCTGTCCCATCGGTCATCGACATCGAGTTCGCTAAAGATAAAGTGGGCGCCCGAATAAAAGTCAGTGAGAATTTCGAAAACATCACTGAAATCATCATCCAGTAATGCCTCCATCAAGTCCAGTCTCGCTTCCTCCGGCAGGCGATCATTAGGCTCGAGTTCAAACTCTGGACATTCTTCTCGGACAATGTCTTCGATCGGGCGCTTCCTTCCAAGCCATAAAGCCAACAAGAACCTGAAGCGCTCATCATCGCAGCCATCGCCTTCCGAGGTATCAGATTGAACCGCCTCGACAGGTAGCGACCGTGATTCCGTTCTTTTGGTTGGCGAAGGACGTAGTGGAATTGGAAAACTTTGCTTCGGCTTGGGCACAGGCGAGTCGCGATACACGGAAAAGGACGCAGTTGCGGTAGGTTGGGTGGATGGCATGCGAGCTGAGCCTCTTGGTATGCTTTTGGTGGCTTCGAGGGCACGTTCGTAGAAGCCTCTGTCCTCCCAGTTCACGATGAACTTCAAGATGCCCCACGGTCTGGGCGCGTCACCCTTCTTTCCAGTGAGAGAAAAGTGGACAGCAGGGTCACGAATAGCTTGCAAGATGCAGGAGTTGCTGGTTCCATCAATGATCAATGCCGAATCGCCAACTTGTCGAATGAGAGTGGTCCGAGCCTCGGCGCTTCCGTCAGTGACTTCCACAATCAGCTCCTTGTCCCCGGCCAGAGACCGATCAGTCGTCAGGAGTTGTACCATTTGATGATCGGTGTACTTGGAGCTGTCCAACACCAAGCGAAACTTTGTCTGTGGACATTGGCAGCTGGCCATGGCATCGACAATCTCAAAAGCCAGGTTGGAATGATTGAATGGCAGGTCGAAGCAGAAAACATTGGCCGGATCGCGTCTGTGGAAGTCGCAAACAGCCTTCCAGGCAGGGTACAGCGAGGTGCGAATGAAGTGTTCCGAGTCGGTGCAGGGCTCTGGTGTAACCTCCCGGGAAGCGGTGGAGCGGGCCGAGTCACCATTGTTGTCTTCCATAATCCATGAACCGCCATGCAAGATGTTGGAGATTGATTTGCGGACTTGAACAGAGAGCGGCTCTGGCTCTGGAGATGAAACGACCAGAATCTTGCAGCGATCCTCGTTGACGAACCACTCATCGAATTGGAAGGCTATGTGTTGCTGCAGAAGCTTGTATCCCTCGGCGGTTGATGGGTAAGTGATGGGAATTTCCCAGCCCTCTCGTTTTCTCTGCTCCAGAGAAACATCTTTGCGCTCACGACCTGGACCTATTTCGTTTATGATCCTGTTGAAAGCGGAGAGTCAGCTTGGGGAACACATAGCGTAGGCAATCAAGCCAGTTGAGCAGGAAAAAGGGTCTGCTTACCATTTCCAAAAGTCTCGTTCCGTAATCCCGCTTTTGGACTTTTTGGTCGTGTACCATTGCCAAGCCTTTCTCCCAAGGGTGATGTGAGGCGGTTCATCCAGAGAGTTGCGAAATGAGAAAGTTGGCGGCATTGCGGTGTGATGCGAGGTGCCGTGTGGAGTGGATGGGAAAAGAGGAGTGATTTGTACGCTGAAAGGCCGAACTCGACATGAAAGCCAGACAAGAAAAGGTAAAAGATAGATGCAAAGATGCCAAAAGATGCCAAGTATGTGTACAAACAGGATGTTGAAAAGAAGATGTTGGAATTGTTGTTCAAGAGAGTGGTGGGAAACGGGGGGAATGGAGGTCTTCTTATACTCATCCGAGTGCCTCTCGTCACCGGAAGACAACTGCTATTCCAGAGCTCGCACCTTTCCACATTGACTGGAGCAGAGGGAGGTCAAGGGAAGAGCAGGATCCTTCGCGTCAACCATTCCTTACTCAAAGTGTTTTCATCGCTTTGACTTGTTTGAGCGTACTTTCTGTTTCCCACGACCATCAAGCGTGATGGACGCAACGAAGCCGGAGCGTCTGTTGCGTCGACAATCATGAAGAACGCGCAAACAAGCTCAAACATTGCAAGAGCGCCGGGATGGGAAGTGGGAAATGCTGCTACTTCCATCTGATTTGCCAACTTCCATTGCGTATGGAGCTTGTATCATGGCGTGTTGCACTTGAACAAGATTGTTGCGACTCTTGCAGTTTGCCGTAACTTCCCCAGCAAACGTTTCGAAGGAAGAGATGTGTTTGTACTGATTTTGGTCCAGCATCACGTCCTTCCTTACCTTCAAGCCAAAGCCACTTCGTTGGCAGTCAAAGACGGTCGGTTGATCAACGGGGCGAGATCTTCGGGAAGCTTCTTTTTGGTTATTGATGTCGGCCCTGCGAGCTCATCAGCAGGCAAAAGAGGGAAGTCAAAATGGGCTCCTGCTCATACTTCGTTGCTGACGTCCGGGAAGCCTTTGATGATGGCAAGTGGGCGCCAAACGAACCTCAAGGGCCGAAGCACGGCACCTGCATTCCTGTCTTCCTGCCTGCCCGCGTCTGCCCGCAGCTGCCTGCCCAACTCTCCCAACCGGCAGCCGCTCCTTCCATCATTTCATCCCATACCTACATCATACCTACCAGCCAGCCAGCCGCTCCTTCCAATCTGAACCCCCAACGAGGCAACGCCCATATAAGCTCCCGTTACATAGCTCCTTCCAATACCCCCAGCCAACGACCAGTTCAATCCTGGTCGGCTAGCGCAGTCAGTAGTACCGTTCCCGGCGTCCTAGCTCTGCATCTCCCACCCTGTCCGACTTCGAGTTCGATTCTCGGACGGGGCAGATCACGAGGTTCTTTTCAACAAAGACAAAGGCCGATAGCGTGCCATCCATGTCGTACACCGCGGGAGTTGTATACTGGCCGGGCTACTGGGCCAGTTGAACCGAGCAACTGGTTGTTCTATCTGTTGGCTACCTTCTTTTTTTGGAGATTTTCTGGGGAGGAATTTTGATGGTCAGTATCAGGGAGGGAGGGTTTTGGAAGCGGGTGGGTGCGATCGTAGTCCTTCCAGGTTCCTTTCCAGAATTCCGTTACACGATTCTGTCTTCATCCTCCTTCCTCCATCTTGCCGTATCGAAATGAGCAGGCATCTTCATTACAAGTCGTCAAGCGCTTCACTTGCAACGAAGGGAATGGAGGAAAGCAAGCAAGCACGCGCCGGTACTTTCAGAAGTCCCTTCGGTGGTCAGGAGGCTCTTGTGACTGCCTTGAATGGAATTGCAGACGGAGAGCTCCAAGTAAGAAGGAAGAAAGGCGATGAACGATCCACGCAGTCAATAGAAGTGGAAAGAACTAAGCGACATGCATCGTTGAGATTGAGATTGCCAAGCCAGCCACAACAGCCACTGCGCCAATCGTTCCCAGGAGGACGGGACAAGGCGAATGAGATTTGAACAGGGAGCGTCAGAACTCCAGTGATAACCCTAACCCGCGCAATGTTCGCTGAGATCTGAGTACGTGAAGCAATCAACCGACGGCCCGCACTGACGGGAATCGCTGTTAGCGTAGGTCACCGCCTTCGGTTGATCACAGCGCTGTGCGATCCTTCGCGACGTCACTTACCTGCAACGGTCCTTCCGTTACTCTGACTTCTTGCGATTCAGGTTGTGTCTTGAAGAGACAGGGCAGAGTCGCCGACGGGATAATTGCCAAAGCGCAAGAAAAGGAACATGAACTGACCAATCTTGTGGCTGCCAATTCTCACTCGGCAATTGCCGTCACGGGGGCGCGCAGGGAGCACCTGGCGCCGGCGCCGACGCGCTTAGGCGCTGTAGCTGGAGCCCTGGAGCAGGAGCGGGCCGCCGCGGAGATGTTCATTCGCTGATGGGTTTTCTTTCCCGCAAAATCGCGCCTGGGACAACCTCGGCTACAAACAACGACAACCCGTACAGCCAACAGTCTCGACCCTCGATTATCGGTCGTAGAATGTTGATGGGTGTTCCCGGGTGTACGGGTCGCTTCACAACGGGCGAGCCCTTTTCAGCTTTGTGAGCCTTCTGGGCTGACTCGGACCATGCCATTATCAATCGTGAGCTGATCAACTCCAGTCATCAATCCCCGGGACTATTCCCTCACCTTTTACAGGTTTTGTGAGAAGGACCACTTGATGACCGATGCCTTTTTTCGGTTACTGGCCGGGTCCTCTCCGTCTCCGGGGCCGAAAATAGAGTCCTGGTGGTAGCAGTCTCGACTCTCTCCGCGGTGTCCACGGAGATGTGCATTTTCGCTTATATTTCCTCTTTCCGGGGCGATATCTGTCCATGATCAACATGACAGGATCTTATTCCCGATCGTACGGCGCGTCGAGTAGTCCCACCTCCCCGCCGTAAAGGCTCCAGAACTCCGGGGATGGCCTGCTATGATGCTGCCGATGGTGGACATTCGGGATACCAAGTGGAAACCCTCGACCACCTGGCGCCAGGAGCCGCGCGTTGCACCGGGACCAGGAAGATCGAGGCCTTTTCTAGACGAAAGGGTCAGAATGAAGAGGTCATGATAAATACTCGGGCAAGCGCCCGGATGCATCATCATCAGAAGTTGCAAGTTCCAACTTTAGACGAACCAACCTACCCCTTATACGAGCCCTCAATTTGAGTTCAACCCCCTACCACACACACATTCCCATATCAGTAGCCTCTACAAGGCACAACCATCAGGCACAATGACCCTCACCGACGCCCAAATATCCATCGTCAAATCCACCGTCCCCGTCCTCAAACAACACGGCGAAGCCATCACCACCATCTTCTACCGCGACCTCATCACCGAAAACCCCTCCCTCAAAAACGTCTTCAGCCTAACCTCTCAATCCAACGGCGCCCAACCGCGCGCCCTCGCCAACGCCGTCCTCTCCTACGCCAGCTACATCGACAACCTCCCCGCGCTCTCGCAGGCGGTCGCGCGCATCGCGCACAAGCACGTGTCTCTCCAAGTCGAGCCGGCGCAGTACGCCATTGTGGGTCAATACCTGATCCAGGCCATCGGGCAGGTGCTTGGCGATGCGGCTACGCCCGAGATTGTAGATGCTTGGACGGCGGCGTATGGGGTTTTGGCGGATGTGTTTATTGGGACGGAGCGGGCGATTAATGAGGAGAATGAAAAGAAGGATCATTGGAGGGGGTGGAGGAAGTTTAGGATTGCGAGGAAGGTGGAGGAGAGTAGCTCGATTTCGAGCTTTTACTTGAAGCCGGTGGATGGGGATGCCAAACTGCCAAAGTATCTGCCTGGTCAGTATGTCTCTGTGCGAGTGCTGGTGCCCCAGTTGGGGTATTTGCAGAGTAGGCAGTACAGCTTGAGCGAGGCGCCGAGGGAGGGAGGGATGGAGGAGTATCGGATTAGTGTGAAGAGGGAGGAAGGGGAGGCCGGTCACGGTGTGCCGGGACTGGTTTCCAACTTGCTTCATGGTAAGCAGGAGGGCGAGGAGGTGGAGGTTAGTCATCCCCAGGGCGAGTTCTTTGTTGATCCCGCGGATGCCAGCAAGGAGGGGGTGCCGGTTGCGTTGATCTCGGTGGGCGTGGGCGCTACTCCGATGATGGCTATCCTCAAGAGCTTGGTGCAGGGGGATGTCAAGAGGAGACCGGTGTCGTGGATCCATGCGAGCAGGTCGAGTTCGGAACAGCCGTTTGGTCAGGAGGTGAGGCGCATCGTCAAGGAGAACCCGGAGCAGGTGTCGGCCCATGTGTTTTTGAAGACGGTGGCGGGCACGGATCAGGCCGGTGTGCATTATGATTTTGCGGATACAAGGATGGATTTGACCAAGTTGGATGGAGAGCGGGATCTGCATTTGGCGGATAAGAGGACGGAGTACTACATCTGCGGACCGGAGACGTTTATGGTGGGAACCAGGAAGGTGTTGGTTGGTCTTGGGGTGGATAGGAGTAAGGTGCATTTGGAGCTGTTTGCTACTGGTGATGTTGCTGATGAGTAGGTGATGGGATTCGGGGTTGGTGATGGCGTCGGTGTATGATTGGCTTGCTGGAAGAAAAAGGAAGAAGGCCAAAAAGCCCCCAACTAAATACCCAATCTCGCTCCCCAAAAAAAAACTGATCCACCAAAACCAAGGCAGACCCCCTGCAACGCTTCCTTGGCAACCATCATCGAAGTAAATACCAAAGTAAACACCAGAAAAAATCAACCTTTTGCATCGGCCTTCATCCTTTTTCTTAGGCTTTTCTTAGCAAAAAAGATCATTCACCATGGGACCACCTCATCTCACTACCCCTAAGAAAACCCGTCTCATTGGCGCCTATAACGACCGCGAAAGAAAGGGGGAATTCTACTTTAAAACCAACCTTTTTAAAGACAACGGAATTTCCTATGCAACCGGATGGCGGACCGAGACGATGGCCGGACCTTTCATTCCGTTTATCCTGAAAGAAGGGGGAGGAAAAGAAAGCTTTCTCCTAAAGACATCGCTATCATTGAGAAATTTCTCGAAAATGAGGGCTTTGATACAAGAACTATCCCATAGGAAGGTCTTCCTATAATAGCCGGCCTCGATATCGAGTGCTGCGGAGAAACGGTTAGGAAAGTAATCCGTCAATGAGATTTCCGGAAATGTATTGCTTGCGAAAAGGCCTATATCTCTCCCGATCTCAAAAAGCGGGGGTTATAATAGACGAGAAATATACTTCGGAAATATCTAACTCTAGAAGTATGGCGGCGAATTCGTTTTTCGGACGAATATTATTTTGGATAGGGTCCTCAAGGGAAGATTTGGGTTATAAGAAGACTTTGGGAAAGATATTGCTCGGATTGTATTATCGAGAAAGAAGACCCTAAAGAGAAGGATAGGAAAAGAGTCTATATTTAGGCTACTATCGGATATGATTTTAAATCTTCTCTCGTCTTCTATGATATCCTAGGGAATAACAATGGTAAAATGAGTTTTAAAGTCTTGTTAGGTCGCTAGGGACCTGTCAGGCGTTAGACCCGTGCTAGCACCGAGGAGCGCCAATGCCCGCATAGTATAGCGCCGTAGTGTGGCGTCGGAACGGTTCGGAGCCGTCGCGGACTTAGTTACTATAGAATAGAGTTTATAATAATATAAATAGCCGGTCGAACTCGCCTCTAGAATTATCGGAGTTAGTTATTAATATATCTTCAGTCATCCCCCTACTTTAATGTCCTTTACATACTTGCGCTATTTGTAAGTACCTTAACCTACCTTTCTCTACGATTTTAATACGTTAATAATTATTACTACGGGAGTTGAGCCGTTACTAATAGGATATAAATACATAACGGACGATCCGTCTTTCAGATTATCGAAGAAACCCTTCCTTTACTTCCAATATATAAAAATTATTTATTACCCCTCTTACTGTAGCTGACGATAGCCTTTAGTACTAGCTTCCTTCTTCGTTTTAATATTATTAGCTAATTATCGAACAAATAAACGATAATAATTTGGATAGCGACCGCTCCTTTGCCCCTTCGTATATTTCGCGCAATCCTTTCTACTATTTAGAGAATGATATTATAATATAAAAGTAAAAATTCTTTGAATTCTATATAGCGGCTATCTAATTACTTTTAATTTACCTCCTATCCTATATATTTCATTATAATTAAAATAGTTTTGTACATTTATTAAAATAAAATTAATTCAGTAATTACCTTCCCGTTCCTTTCGGATTCCGCTATTAGGATTATCTTTTCTATAATTAAATACTCCTATTAACCTTCTTTATTCCCCTTATTACTCCCTAAATTATAATACTTATTATTCTTATATTTACCCAACCGATTTATTTTATTATTTTATTTAAATATCGCCCTAAAATTAATATTTTTTAAATTTATTAATAAGAGCTCCTCCTAATTATATAATTTTATTTTCGAAATTAATAATTACTATTTTGAATACCCCCGGATACTCCTTTCTTTTATTGTTAATTATATTAAAAGTAATCTTAAAAACGTATAGATTAAATATATTATAATTTTCAAAAAAAAGATCGATTATAACCCTATCTATAATATTCCTATTTAGAAAAATCTACGTACTTTTTTAAAGAAGGAATATAGCGGTAATATTTAAATTATCGAACGTTCCGCCTTTATTAATTTTAAATATATATAGTAAAGTATTACTAGGACCGTTCGTACGTTCTACGACCGTTTTTATATTAAAAAGTTTAATCTATCTTATAAATAACCGGAATATTTGTATATTTCATAATAAATTAACTGCTTACGTGCTTATTTATATAGTAGTGTCTTATTAGCGAACGGTATTAATATATTAACCGAAGCGGTAGTGTATATAGAGCGATTAGAAAGTATAAAAACTTTAGCATTAATAATATAACGTTAGTGCCTTTAAATACCATATCTTTATTTATTTTCTCCTTTTTTTCTTCCTGTTTCTATTTTTATTTCTATTCCTATATTTATTCTTAATTTTACTAATTTCTCTCGTCTTCTCCCCATAATTTTTGTTAACCCCAACCTTATTTATTATTATTATAATTAATTTGGATATATGTACGGTTAATACTAGGTAGTAAAATTGCGTAGTATTTACTATAAATATGGTAAATTTAAATATTCGGCGTTTTCCTATATTAAATATAATTATTATAATTATAGTAAATTAGGCTATATATTATATTAATACTCTATTTTCCGTAGTACCTTAATTTAAGGCGTGAATATTAAATTGGTAGTACTAGTGAAAATTACGACTACTTCAGCCTAAGGAAGCGCGGGTATATTATAATTGTATTTAAATACGAAGGTATTAATGAAAATATATAGAAATTAGCGGAAAATTTATAGTTTAATAAATTTTAGTGCGGAGCTAAATTTTATTAGAAGGTATTTATTGTTATTAAATATTAAAATAGAATTCATAAATTACTATTTTATTAATTTCTCTCTCTAATTTATTCTTATACGTAGTTTAATTATTCATTTTATTACAATGCGCGATTCCTATAGTATTAAGCGGAAGAAAAGGATTATATTTATAGTTATTGATTTCCCCGGCGTAGACGTTATTTTTAATTACCCTTAATTGTATAAATATAATTTTGAAATCGATTAGCGTTAGAAGAGGTTTTAATTTTGGATTAAAATATAAAATTTAAAAATGAATAAAGAGCCGATTAAAAATAGTTATAAAATTGTAATATTTCTTTATAGTTTACGTTAGGATTTAATCCCTATATTAGATTCAAAAGAAGTATTCAATTTTTTTAATAGTTTTAATTCCTTACTATATTCGATTATCCCTTTCGAAATTCCCCTATCCTTACTTATAAAATTTTTAACCCTATTGGATATCCTAGATTTCCCTGATATTTCTTCCGATATACCTACTTTTATATTTATTAATATATTTCCGGATATGTATTTTAAAGTTTTTAAAATTATATTAAATGGAATTTACCCGCCGTTAGAGCCCTTATTAAAATTAGTAATTCTAAAGCCGTCCGTCGTCGAATTTAAAAAGGAGGAGACGGCCGCCGCCGAATTGATAATTCTTCCGGAATATAAAGAGTTTCAATAAATATTCGAAGCGTCGGCTATATCCTCATTATAGTACGACCGTTTAAAATATTATATTAATTTAATTGAAGGAGAGTCCGTTCCCTAAGGCCCTATTTATATGTTTAATATTAAAGAATTAGAAGTATTTTAGGAATAATTAATAGAAATGTTATATAAAGAATAGATTCGTCCGTTTATTAATCCAGCAGGGGTTCCTATTATTTTTATTCCGAAGAAGGGAAATAAATTAAGGTTATATATCGATTACTATACGTTTAATAAAGTAATAAAGAAGAACCGTATAGCGTTACCTCTTATTCAAAAAATTTTAGATCGGTTATTGTTAGCGAAGATTTTTATAAAGTTAGATTTGAAGGATATATATTATTATATTCGGATTATGGAGGGAAATAAGAAAAAGATAGCGTTTTATACAAAGTATAAGTATTATAAATTTTTAATTATACTGATAGGATTAATTAATATTCCTACTATTTTCTAAATGTATATTAACAATATATTAGCGGAGTTAACTAATACTATTTATATTATTCATTTCGACGATATTATAATTTATAATAAAAATAAAGAAAATTATTGTAAATATATTAAGGAAAATTTCTAATATTTATACAAACGTAATCTATATATTAATTTTAATAAATACGAATTTTATATTAAAAAGGTATTATTTTTAAATTATACAGTTTCGCCCAAAGGTATTTCGATAGATCCGGAGAGGGTTATAGCAATTACGGATTAGGAAGCCCCGAAAAGCGTTTATAATATTTAAATTTTCTTAAAGTTTATAGGGTTTTATCGACGGTTTATAATATCCTATTCTAAAGTTACGGCTCTATTAATAAATTTGTTAAAGGGAGAGAAATAAAAATTATTCGAATTATTAGAATTAATTAAAGTAGTGTTCAAAGAGTTGAAACGGCTATTTTAAAAGGTATTAATATTACGGTACTTTAATCCTTCCTTATTGATTTAAATAGAAACGGATACGTTTAATTTCGTAATTAGTATAATATTAGTATCGTATATAAAACGTAGTAGTATCCTATTATATTCTTTTTTCGTAAGAAATCCCTGGAGGAAACGCGCTATAGCGTTAATAATAGCGAATTATTAGCGATTATAAGCGTATTAAAGGTATAGAGGTAATATTTATTATATATTAATAAACTTTTCTTTATTATTATAAATTATTTAAATTTTTAATATTTTAAAAATAAGGATAGTGTTAGCGCGTAGTAATATTAGTAAGCGTTGGAATTGGCGGTATATAATTTTGATATTGAATATCGGGTAAGGAAATTTAATCCGGCGGACGGGTTATTATAAAAATTATAATTATACGAAGTTATCGAAGTAATTAGGAAGGATTATCCTTTAATACGGATGATTAAAGAAAGTAAGGAGAAAGGAAAGACGATATAGAATAGGATTATATTGGACGGTAGTATTAAGAAGGTATTATTAATTAGTCGGGAAATATAGAAAGTGGTAATAGAAAGGAGAAAATAGTATAAAGATAGTGGAGAAAATAAATTAGTTTA